AAAGTCATAGGGAGGAGGGAGCAGGCTTGTTTTCTGCTGTCCTAGAGACTGGGGGACGTGGAACAATGGCTTCAAGCTACAGGAAAGAAAGGAGATTCCAACTCAACATTAGGACGAACTCCCTAACTGGGGGAGCTGTTCAGCAGTGGAACTCTCTGAGTCGGAGTGTGGTGGAGGCTTTTAAACATAGGCCGGATGGCCATCTGTCAGTGGTGCTTTGAATGCAATTTTTCTGCTTCTTGGCAGAATGGGATTGGACTGGATGGCTCACGAGGTCTCTTCAACACTATGAATCTATAATTCTACTTTATTTTTAAATCTCAAATGCATTAGAGGGAGAATAGCACCATGGTTTGGGTATGCCAGTTTATTGTTGCGAGCCATATCCATGTCACCACTGAGATAAAAGCAAGAAATAATAATAATAATAATAATAATAATAATAATAATAATAGCATTAATAATAATATTATTAATAATTTAATAGAGGATTGAATTGGGGCTGCAGGGTGCATACTGGGTTGTTGTAGTTTTTTTCGGGCTGTATGGCCATGGTCTAGAGGCATTCTCTCCTGATGTTTCGCCTGCATCTATGGCAAGCATCCTCAGAGGTAGTGAGGGTGCATACTCCTTGAGTCATCCTTGGGCAAGGGTCATCTCTCTGTCAAACTGTCTTTGGAGGAAAGGACTGGAAGGAACTCGGGTGTGAAACCTCCAGGTGTGGGGAGAAATACCTGGCTCCAAAACCCAGTCCATGTGAAAGGGATCTTAGGGCCCTTCCATGCAGCCCTATATCGCAGAATATCAAGACAGAAAATCCCACAATATCTGCTTTGAACTGGGTTATCTGAGACCACACTCAGATAATGTGGGATTTTTGTAGTTAGTAGACCACAAACTGACCATGAGCCAGGAGTGTGATGCGGCTACTAAAAAACTCAGTGTGATTCTAGGCAATCACTATAATATTCTAGTGACATCCAGAGGATTCCCTTCTCTTCTGCTTTAGCTAAACCTCTTTACCTGGAATGACCTTATATCCAATTTTGGACAAAAATAACTAAAAGTAAGGATTTTGGACAACATGGGTGGCCGAAATGATCGAAGGTCTGGAACCTAAAAGTTAATATAAAAAGATAAACGAGTTGAAATAATTCAAAATAGTAATAAAATATTGTTCCCTTTGGGGTGAGAAGTTCAGCATATAAATGTTGTAAATAAATTAATAATTACTTTATTATTATTATTATTATTATTATTATTATTATTATTATTATTATTATGGCGGCACTGCTGGCTTTTAAACTTGTACATTTTTACTAATTTTATGCTTTTTATCTTGTTTTGTTCTTTGTATGTTTTCCTTAAGTTAGTTGAGAATTCATAATTTTGTTAATATCCCTGTGGATGTGGATGTGTCAATATGTTGTTGTGGGAATGCGTTGTTGGCTCTCATGGCCGGAATCAATGGGTTGCTGTGAGTTTTCCAGGCTGTCTGGCTGTGTTCCAGAAGCATTCTCTCCTGATGTTTCGTCCACATCTATGGCAGGCATTCTCAGGGGTTGAGGGATCTGTTGGAAACTAGGCAAGTGAGGTTTATATATCTGTGGAATATATGTCCAGGGTGGGAGAAAGAACTCTTGTCTGTTTGAGGCAAGTGTGAATGTTGCAATTGGTTAGCTTAGATTAGATTTAATTACCTTGCTGCTTCAAAGTCTGACTGGTTTGTCGGATTTGGATGATTTTGGTTATTTTGTTCTTCATCCAGCACCTTACGACATTGAATATTTGTCAATTTGTTGTAAACCGTCCTGAGTCCCTATAGGGCAGGATATAAATAAAGTATTATTATTATTATTAACATATGATATAACACTATAGTAATATATTACCATTATTACCATTATTAATATCAATATGATTAATTATTAATAAAATATTGATAGTAAATAAATAATAATAATAATTAATAATAAATATTTAGTAATTAAGCCATTATAATAATGAAATAAATGAAATAAATAATAATGAGATGGGTCCCACGTCTAAACATAAAATTTATTTTAATTTTCCTCTCTCAAAAACATCTACCACTTGGGCTGTTGAGACAATTATATTCCATACACAATGGATGAGGATGTTGAGACTGGAAGAAAAAAGTTATAATACAATATATCATAGAATACTAATAGTATAATATACTGGTAGTGTATTTTATACATTGTGGTATAATAATACAGTACAATATAATAACATAATAATTGTATATTATATATTACATGTAATATTAGTAATACTACATAATAATATTGCGGTATAGTGGTATAGTACACTATAATAATGTATAATACTAACATTGTGCTATGCTAATCTATATAAATAAAAATGTAATGTTCGTTTGTGGGATTAACAGAACTCAGAAAACACTGGATGTAATGACACCAAATTTGGACACAAGACACCTAACAACCCAATGTATGTCCTTCACTAAAAAAAATGATTTTGTCATTTGGGAGTTGTAGTTGCTGGGATTCATCGTTCACCTCCAACCATTCTGAACCCCAGCAACGATGGAATTGAACCAAACTTGGCACACAGTTCTCCCATGACCAAGAGAAAATACTGGAAGGGTTTGGTGGGCAGTGTCCTTTGGTTTTGGAGTTGTAGTTCACCTACATCCAGAGATCACTGAGGACTCAAACAATTATGGATCTGGACCAAACTCTATATGAATAGTCCATATGCCCAAATGTGAACACTAGTGGAGTTTGGGGAAAATAGAATCTTGACATTTGGGAGTTGTAGTTGCTGGGATTTATAGTTCACCTACAATCACAGAGCATTCTGAACCCCATCAACAATAAAATTGGGCCAAACCTCCCACACAGAACCCCCATGTGGGCCACAGCAACGCGTGGCAGGGGACGGCTAGTGTATGTATATATACATATAATATTTATATATACAGTATACTAATAATAATAATACAATATAATATATATATATATATATATAATATTGCAATGTAGTAAAACTAATAAATTAAATATACTTATGTCTGAAAATATATATTATATAGGCTGTTTTATTATTGTATATTTGTATATTTTAAGTTGTAATGTTTCTGATTTATCTCTCCGTATGGAAAGATAAAGCGAGATATAAAGAAAGAAAGAAATAATAATACATTTTCTAATTTTGTTATAGTATTATTCCCTTTGAGGAGGAATGGATTGCTGAGCTGAGTTTGAACTTGGAGAACATGCTGAATGGGAGTCTGGAGAAGTCTCCTTTTTATTATTATTATTATTATTATTATTATTATTATTATTATTATTATCTTTATTTGTATTCCTCTAGCATCTCCCAGAGGACTCGATGCAGCTTACAAAGGCCAAGGTCTCAAAACACAACATAACAATACAAAACCTAAAGCAAATTAAAAACAATTAAAGCAATATTAAACAACAAGAAGAAAACAATACACCAAGACACAGTAAAACTGGGCCGGGCCAGAGTAGTGGGTACAGAATTAAAAGTGCTGATGTGACAGGTGGTATATAAGGATTATAGGGTAAGTGCAGTGTGAAGTGTGCGACAGATCTTAATTCTAATAAAGTGCTTCTGGGACTTGTTATTGGAGTTTTCCTATTCTGGAAAGGCACATCGGAACAGCCAGGTCTTCAAGTTCTTTCTGAAGACTGCCAATGTAGGGGCTGTCTAAGATCTTTGGGGAGGGTGTTCCAGAGTCGGGGGGAAAGGCCCTGTCTCGCGTCCCCACCAAACGCGCCTGCGACGAAGGTGGAATCATGAGCAGGGCCTCTCCGGATGAACAAAGTGTGCGCGTGGGTTCATAAACGGAGATGTGGTCACACAGGTAGGATGGTCCCAAACTGTTTAGGGCTTTGTAGGTAAGCACCTGCACCTTAAATTGGGCTCGGAAAATAAACGGCAGCCAGTGGAGCTCCTTGAACAGGAGGGTTGACCTCTCTCTGTAAGGAGCACCAGTTAACATCCTGGCCGCTGCTCGTTGGACAAGTTGGAATTTCCGAGCCGTTTTCAAGGGCAGCCCCACGTAGAGCGCATTACAGTAGTCCAACCTAGAGGTGACCAAGGCATGGACCACCCCGGCCATATCAGCCTTCGTGAGGTACGGTCGCAGTTGGCGCACGAGTCTCAATTGTGCAAAAGCCCTCCCAGACACCGCCGACGCCTGAGCCTCAAGCGTAAGTGATGAATCCAAGAGAACTCCCAAACTGCAGAGTCTCCTTCCATGAACGTTTTGAAGCAGAGGCAGGATGGTCATCTGCCAGGAGTGATTGGATGGTGTATTTAATTATAATTGGTTTTAAATGTTTTTAATGCTTAATATTTATTGATATCTTACTTTTGGACGTTATTATGCTTTATGTGATTTTTCTTTTGTATTTTATGTTAAATGTGCTTTGATTTGTATTGCATTATGTTGTGAGCCACTTTGAGTACCGTTAGGGAGAAAAAAGGGACATAAATATGTATTATTGTTGTCATTTCTTGTATGCATTGCAGAAGGGGGTTCGACTAGATGACCCATGGGATCCCGCCCAGGCCTAAGGGGAGCGCCAGCCATCTTCCCAATTTTGCACGTCTTTGCATAGGCCTGCCTTGGAGGCACCCTTTCCTGCCTTGTTCCCATCCTTTTCGTCTTGGTTCAGGGACAAACCGGGGAGCGGCCCCTTTAAGAGCCTTGCGTCCCTCCCCGCTGCGCGTGCGCGGGCTCGCCTTGCCTCCTTCCGCTTCGTGCGCATGCGCGCTCCCCCTTTGTCCCTTTTTTCCTCGCCTCCTCAACCAAACCAACGAGAGGCGGCCATTGGCGAAGGGAGCGTTTTGCGCGGGCTAGCAGATAAGGCGGGAGCAGTCGAGAGCAGTCATCCAATCAGCCGTAGGGAAGCAGATGACGTATGCAACGAGGTGTGACTGACAGCACCGACGGCCACTCAGCGCGTGCATAGCGGTCGGCGGTCCGCCAATGGGAAGAGGGCAGGCCGCGGCAGGAAAGCGAGGCTGGTTTCCGGTCCCGCGTGCGCGCCCCCGTCCTTTTCCCCCGCTTTCTTGTCTCTTTCTGAGGTAAGAGAAGGCCGCGGTTGGTCGGTCGGTGGTTCGTAGGCCAGGCAGAGGAGGAAGGAAGGGAGGAAGGAAGGAAGAAAGGCAAGAGGCCGCAGAAGACCGGAGGAAGACCCGAGGGAGTGGAGGAGGAGGAGGGGGGAGGGTGGGAAGGAGGGAGTGAGGAGGCCGGTCGCCCGCCCCCAATGCCCTTCTTATAGTGATATATATATATATATCTATACACACACACATATACCCATATTGTATATATATATATATATATATATGTTATAGTGATATATACATCCATATACACACACACACACACATATATATATACATTATATATTATCAGGAACAATTATATTTAGTATAATATTAGTATTGCTATGTTACAATATCATACATTAAAACTTTATATTATTATATTGTGTTACATTGTATTATTTATTTATCTATATATATATAAATGCTCTGTGCATAATGAGTACCTTAAAAACCAAAAGAACCAATGAACGAAATCACACCAAATTTGGCAACAAAACATCTCACAACATAAGGAGTGACCATCACTCAAAAAAATTATGATTTTGTCTTTTGGGAGTTGTACTTGCTGGGATTTATACAATCACACAGCATTCTGAACTCCCAACAACAATGGAATTTCTGTGGTGGCCCCCCGACTCTGGAACGCTCTCCCGAAAGATCTCAGACAAGCCCCTACATTGGCAGTCTTCAGAAAGAATTTGAAAACTTGGCTGTTCTGATGTGCCTTTTCAGATTAGGAACCCCAGCACCAAATCCTAGAAGCACCTTAGTAGAACCAAGATCACTGCACACCGCACTTATAATCCTACATTCCTCCCGCCACATCAGCACTTTTAATCCTGTACCCCTACTCCAGCCGGCCCAGTTTTAATAGTGTCTTGTTGTATTGTTACTGTTATTGTTCTCCTGCTTAACTGTTTTTACAAATAAAGTTATAAATAATATAATAAAATTGAACCAAACTTGGCACACAGGACTTGCTGGGATTTATAGTTCACCTACAATCAAATAGCATGATAGAATTGGACCTACCGGGGCATACAGAACTCTCATGACCAACAGAAAATACTGGAAGGGTTTGGTGGGCATTGACCTTGAATTTTGGAATTGTAGTTCACCTACATCTAGAGAGCACTGTGGACTCACAATGATGGATCTGGACCAAACTTGGCACAAATACTCAATATGCCCACATATAAACACAGATGGAGTTTGGGGGAAATAGACCTTGATATTTGGGAGTTGTAGTTACTGGGATTTATAGTTCACGTACAATCAAAGAGCGTTCTGAACCCCACTAAAGACAGAATTGGGACAAACCTCTCACACAGAACTCCCATGACCAACCGAAAATATTTAAGACCATCCAGTCCAACTCCCTTTACCAGGGCAAGAAAATGTAATCAAAGCCCTCCTGACAAAGAGCCACCAATCGTAGATATAGAGATATATATATGATTCACACACACAGATATAGTATCCTAGATTTGAAAGGGACTCCTAAAGAAGGACAATTCTATGTTGCATGCTCCAGAGTAAGCCAACCAGACAATCTCTACATCAACACAAACATAAAGAAATTACGTATATTAGAAACCAACACTTTCTCATTACTTTATTTTCCAGATCACCAGACTGGGCCATAGCAACGCGTGGCAGGGGACAGCTAGTATTATTATAAAATATTATTTTGTACTATACTGCATTATAATACCAGAATATAGATAATACACGACATACATAATAAATACACCATCCAATCATCCTGACAGATGGCCATCCAACCTCTGCTTCAAAACATCCATGGAAGGAGACTCCATCAGACTCCCATTCAGCATGTTCTCCAATCTTGTGAAGATTGGGAAGGAGAGCTAATCCACTAGAGCAGGCATGGTCAGACTTCTGCCCTCCAGATGTTTTGGACTTCAACTCCCACAATTCCTAACAGACACAGGCCCCCTCAGCCGCTTGGGAATTGAACCAGGTTTTCCACACGGTTAAATCTATACAATGATATCATTTGGTATTGTTGTTCCAAGGGGGAAATGGGCGGGGAGAGTGTATACATCTAAGGAATATATAAAGCGTTAATATTGAAAGTGACACTTGAAACAATGTTTAGTGAGATGAGGCCTGCTCAATGATTGGATATATCAATAATAAAATAAATATAATAATAATAATAATATAACTTTATTTGTACCCCCTGCCATCTCCCCAAGGGACTCGGTGTGGCTTACATGAGGCCAAGCCCACAGCACATCAGTAAGTAAAAGCGATAACAAATAATCAATACAAAAACAGTTAAAATAAAAACTCAAAAACAAAAATACACAAGCAATAAACAATAACATACAGCATTTAAAAACCTATATATACCCTGCTTATTATTATTATATTTATTCCCTACTTTATCTCACCTGAAGAGCTTAACATAAAAATGTTCACACAGCATTTAAAATGTACAAATATTAAAGCAGAATTAAATATAAAGAATGTTAAAAGATTCATAATTAAAACCATTCAAACATGTTTGATACATATTCAAAGCTAAAACCACAGCACCTCCGGAATTGATATTGCAAACCTTCATCATTAAAAGCCTGCCTGAATAGCTGCTCAGACAGGCTGCCTGCAAGGAGGGAGCCACTCTGGCTTCCCTTAATAATAATAATAATAAGAAGAAGAAGAAGAAGAAGAAGAAGAAGAAGACTCTATTTATATCCTGCCCATCTCCTCTATGGGACTCCAAGCGGCTTACAACAAGGCAGAGCAATACAAAATAATAAGCACATAATGCATTAAAAATTAAGACAAATGATAAATAGAACAGAACATAATAAGAAACATAAATCATGAAACATATTACATTTTCCCCGGTAGGAATATTTGCACACATGTGTTGTGTGCATATTTATGTATTGTGTGTGTGTATGCATATATATATATGTATTGCGTATGACTGTACATATAGTTCATATATACATAGTGCATATATACTGTGTGCATATTTATGTATTGTGTGCACATATATGTATTATTTATGAATGTGTGGTGCATATATTATAGTACATATATATTGCATGCGTATTTATGTATTGTGCATGTAAAGATATTTAGTGTATTTGTATATATGCATATTTATAGTGTGTATGTATATGTTGTGTGTCTGTGTATAGATAGATAGATAGATAGATGAGATATCTTAGAGATAGGATCCCAGTCTAAGTAAAAGACTTGTTTATATTGGGTTGTTGTAGGTTTTTCCGGGCTATATGGCCATGTTCTGGAGGCAATTTTTCTCCTGAGGTTTCGCCTGCATCTATGGCAAGCATCCTCAGAGGTAGTGAGGTCTGTTGGAAGTAGGAAAAAATGGGTTTATATATCTGTGGAATGACCAGGGTAATGTTTCAGCTGATCACCTTGATTTGCACCAGAAGACATTTATAATAAAGTGTTATTGCTTTATTTCTGCCGTCCTACTTGAATATCACTTTCCTAAACCAAAAGACCAATAATTAGGTTGTCCCCATCCTAGCTAAGAATTTTTTTAAATTTAATCAAAGATTTATCCTTGGTCAGCATTATCAAATTATTAATTGACAAAGGATTTGGACCTCTGTGTAAACATAGCCACAAACATAGCCATGCAATAAACGTATACATACATACACACACACTTAAAATGCACCTATTCCTACTTGCATACAAATTAAACTTAAGAACCAACCTACAGAAGCTATCTTGTTCGTAACTTGGGGACTAGCTGTATATAAAATTATATATACATAAAAATTATAAAAAACAGAGAATTCTCCTTTCTCTCCGTTTTCCTGATTAAAAAGAGCCTTTAATGTTTTAAAGTTACATTTTATTCTTTTACTCCCATGTGAATTAATGCAAGTTGAGCATTCCTCATCCAAAATCATCCACAGGAGTAGCTGAGATTGTTTTCTGGTGGTTCACTGTACACAAGCTTTGTTTCGTGCACCATGTTATTTAAAGTATTTAGTATAAGGTGTCTTTCAAGCCCAGTGTATAAGGTATAAAACATGGGGTGTTCGTGTTTAGACTTGGGTCTCATCTCCAGGATTTCCCACTGTGTGTATATGAAGATATTCTCAAATCCAGAAGCATTTCTATTCCTAAGCATCCTGAGGGAGACCCAGCCTTCTGTATCCAAGGTTCTGTATCACAGATTTCACTATTTGCATCTTGAAAATTTAATCAACTACCAAACTCGCAAATTTTGTATTTTGTCTGTTGGTTTGTTTTGTTCTATTAGAAATGTAATACAATTGACTGGTTGCCCTGACACGACAAATAAATAAATCTTGAAAATACTCTTTTAATTCCCAAAAGCAAGCCTTGGTTTTTGCCACCTGAGGCAGCCTACAACAAAATTAAAACAAGGCAGCTGGCCTCTTTAAATGCAAGTGTTGGGGGCTACCTAACTCTATGTCTCTGTAGGCCACTGAATCTATTCTGGGTTTGCTTTAAAGCAGTGGTTCTCAACCTGTGGGTCCTCAGGTGTTTTGGCCTACAACTACCAGAAATCCCAGCCAGTTTACCGGCTGTTAAGGTTTTTGGGAGGTGAAGGCCAAGTCATCTGGGGACCCACGGGTTGAGAACCACTATTTTAAAGGAACTAGCTAAGCTGTTCAACTTTTTGGGGTTTTTGGGTTCAACATGTTAGATATCTCCTTTAGAATTTGGGTTGTGCACCTCAACAGAGTCTCTGCCCCATTGGCAAAGGAGCTGCCAGTCTTGAGAGCTTAAACTTGGGAAAACAAGCACTCTGACTTAAGGCTTGCACTTTAATCAAAGGCTGAAAGATGCAGGGCAACAAGGGCTTCGCGATGGAGAAGCAGAACCATACTCCCAGGAAGCAGCAACAGCACCAGCATCATCAGCAACAGCAGCTACAGCAACAACAACAACCCAGCCCTGCGAATGGGCAGCAGGCCAACAGCCAAAGTGAGTTCCTGGTTCTTTCCAAAAATAAACACAGAGGTTGCATGTTACTGTGGAGCTGTGTGATAATTTGAAATGGTGTTTGGATTCCCAGAGGAGCAAACCTAGCCTACTCTTCCTGGTGGCCTTGTGGAATGCCAGGTGCAAGTAGTGCAATTCTCTGTAGATAATCCTTAGGTACTGAGGGCGCCCTGTGACTAGATGCAGGCCATTGACTATAAGACAAACCAAAATACATCAGAGTAGCTTTTGGAGCTTTCTGGGGGCATCTTCATCAGGTAAAATGGTTAAAAGGTGATGTAGGGAAGGGAACGAATGCTGTTGATGTTAATATGGTTACGTTTTGAGGCTGGGGTGCTGCCGAAAGTACCTTGGCAAACAAAACGTTGTGTCCCCCACTCAGGACAAAAAGCAGGAAAGAAAAATCAGTGGGATTTTAGATTTTATTGTCATGTTGGGCTGAGTGTCTTCGTGTAAATAGTGCAGAGCCCCAGAAAGAACATCCCAGAAAAGTCCAGAATGGAGACAGCTCATATTCTGTGTTTTGATACAAACCTAACCAGATATCACTGAATAGGTCTGATGTAACTTTCTGAAGTCTCCAGATAGGCATGTTACATGTTTTTTTGAGGTAGCCAGATAGTGTTTGTGCATTATTTACTGGCTATTTATTAATGTGACTGTATGATATTTTAAACATATACTGATATATATATATTTAGCATGGTTTAATGTAGGGGAGTAAATATGGAGGTGTTTGGCTTGGCTTGCTGGTGCTTCTGGGGAGGAAATTTCTTTGTGCGTTGCTTCCTAAGATTCCTGTTTTTTTCTGAGCTTCATGTACACTTTGTGGTTTTTTGTCTCAATTTCACCTTTCTGCATATATGATCTCTCAATGCTTGCTTTCTTTCCCACCAATGTGTGATCTCTTTCAAGCATCCACTAAGACCGATTTGGGGCTTGGGTCTGGCATTGGCATTGCTTCCGGTCAATTTAAGAAGCAGGATGGTGCGCGTTATAAAAGATATTGCCTTTGACTGTTAACTTACAGGCAGCCTGTCTGAGCAGCCATATGCCAGCCCCAACCTGCTGGCTCGCTTCCCCTCCGGCACTGCCATGTAAGTGCTTCTGGCTCTCTGCAGCTGCTGCGATGTCCTGGCCGCCTGTCTGCAGCCTCTGTCTCTTACCTGCAAAGGCTGGGATAAAAATCTTCTTCCATTTGGCTGGGAAGCTCCCTTGTTGTTCCTTGGTGATGATTTCTGGCAGCCCTTCTTCCTCTTGCTGATTTGTGCTGACATGCCATTTGGATAGCTGGAAGCTGGATGTGTTGGGAGAATCGGTTAATAATCTGTTCATTTTACTCCAGAATTGTGTTAATACTTGGCATTTATCCCCCCAATTCCGTAGAGCGATTCTGTACCTTATTCCCCTCAGATGAAGGCCTGACCATTGACCTGAAAAACTTCCGGAAGCCCGGTGAGAAGACCTTCACCCAGAGGAGTCGCCTGTTTGTGGGGAACCTGCCTCCGGATATCACAGAAGAGGAGATGAGGAAGCTCTTTGAGAAATACGGGAAGGCTGGTGAAGTGTTCATTCACAAGGACAAGGGCTTTGGCTTTATCAGGCTGGTGAGTGGCTTCAGAGGATTGCAGAATCCGATTTCTGACAGCTGACAAGACTGAACTTCCTTTAGCTTCCTATTGAACGATGGGGCTGTTTTCATTCGAACTCAGACTCATGGGATCTTCACTGCTCTCTTCGATCTTCTGGAAAGGCTTTTCTCTCGCTCCCGCCCGCATCACAAGTGCGACTTGCAGGGATGAGAGAGAGGGCCTTCTCTGTGATGGCCGCTCGGCTCTGGAACTCATTCCCCAGAGATGTTAGGCAAGCCCCTACGTTGGCAATCTTCAGGTGGAATCTGAAAACCTGGTTATTCCAATGTGCCTTTAGTGATCGAACGTAAGATACTCCCTGACCAAACTTTTTTCACAAAATGACCTCAGTAGCACTTTATTTTATGGTTCGTGCAATTAAATCCCTCCTTATCCCGGATCCTCCTCCCGATGTTTGACATTGTCCTATCTCCCAGTGTTTTAATATTTTATCCTGAATTTGGCCCTGCCCAGTGAAATCTTTTTTGTTTTGTTTTATTATGTTGTTGTGTTATATTATTGTATATTATACTGATGGCCGTGGCCTCATGTAAGCCGCACTGAGTCCCCTTGGGGGAGATGGAGCGGGGTATAAATAAAGTTTTATTATTATATATTGTGCGCTGTGCAAGGCTGATATAGATGGATGTAGGGGGCCTTTCTCTACTGAGGCCCCTCTGCTCAGTCCTGCAGTAGAGGGACTGAGGAACGCTGCCCAACCCGGGGACTTCTAACAGGGTTTGTGGGTCTTTCTTCCTTCTTGCTTGTAGGAGACCCGGACTCTGGCTGAGATTGCCAAGGTGGAGCTGGACAACATGCCCCTGCGGGGGAAGCAGCTGCGGGTGCGCTTTGCCTGCCACAGCGCCTCTCTGACAGTCCGGAACCTGCCCCAGTTTGTGTCCAATGAGCTCCTGGAGGAAGCATTTTCCATGTTTGGCCAAGTGGAGAGGGCTGTTGTGATTGTGGATGACAGGGGAAGACCCTCGGGCAAAGGCATTGTGGAATTTTCTGGGAAACCAGCTGCTAGGAAAGCCCTGGACAGATGTGGCGAGGGCTCCTTCCTGCTCACCATGTAAGTTTCTTGGGGGATAAAAAGGGACTGTCAGATGAAGGCAGGAGGGAGTGCTTGTGTCTCAGTAGCAAGGACCTTCAAGCTGCATTCTGTGTTTGCATCCACAGAGCTAAATAGTAGTGTTTTCATTTTGCTCAACTCACTCTAAGAAACCTCTGGAGAGGGTGACCAGCAGAGCAGAAGGAAGCAGAGGCAGCAGTTTGTGTCTTTGACATTCAGCTTTTCTCTATCTGTTGGCTACTGGAGAGTGTAGGCTACATGCTGCTTTGCCTAGATGTATGGGTCAGTGGTTGCTGGGGCCACTTGCCTAGACCCAGTAACCTATGGGCTAGGGCCCTCGTTTGTGATCTTTGCATTTCCTCTGGAAGCTACATTGGCCCTATGCTGTGGCTATCACTCATACAGAAGAAAGGATGCCTTCCCTTAGAGCAGTATTTTTCAATCTGGAGGTCAGGACCCCTGGGGAGGCGGATCACCAGAGACCATCAGAAAATACAGTATTTTTTGTTGGTCATGGGGGTTCTGTGTGCCAAGTTTGGTTCAGTTCCATTGTTGGTGGAGTTCAGAATGCTCTTTGATTGTGGGTGAACTATAAATCCCAGCAACTACAACTCCTAAATTACAAAATCAGTCCTTCCCAACTCCACCAGTATTCTGATTTGGGTGTATCGGGTATTTGTGCCAAATTTTGTCCAGTGAATGAAAATACATCCTGTGTATCAGATATTACTTGTCTGAAAGTATCTCCCTCTGCGAACCACTAAGGACGTTAAGATCACCTGGGGAGGCCCTGCTCTCAGTCCCATCACCTTCATGGGGACAAGAGACAGGGCCTTCTCCGTGGTGGCTGCTCGGCTGTGGAACTCCCTCCCCAATGAAATCAGGTCTGCTCCCTCCCTCCTGACCTTTCGTAAAAAGCTTAAAACCTGGCTGCGAGATCAAGCATTTGAGCAGTAGATGTAGCAACTGGGACCATAATGGATTGACCTGGACTATGATTTTGAACCGGCGCACTGTTTTAAATTTAATGTTTATAATTGTTTTAATTGTAAATGTGGATTTTAATGTATTGTTTTGGCATCTAATGGTTGCCTGTTGTAAGCTGCCCTGAGTCCCTCTTCGGAGATGAAAGAACAGGATATAAATGTGAATTCACCTGTAGTTACTCCATGGAAATTCCATGTTAGCACTGATCCAACCAAAGTCTGACAGCAAAGAGGAAGGATTGTTCTGAGATGGAAAGAATGAATTTGTTCTCTTTTTTATGTGGGAGGGGGTGGGGTTGGTTGAAAAATAACAAAGAAATGAAATATAATTGCTAGGTGTGTTAAGGCACCTTCTTCACTTTGTAAATTGAGGGTTCCGGCTTTCTTGACAAAATACATGCAATTCGGATATTGTGTCCCTATTGGGGTTCTCGGAGGGGGGGGGGGGGGGGGGGGGGCGAAGAAGCTGAATGTAATTAGAGATACAACGGCCTTGTACGTGGTGACACCTCAAAATCCTTTGCAGCTTACCTCCATTTTATTCTATCAACACTTGGGTTATGGGCCCAGCAGGCATCTGCTACACAACTCTGCTGTCTCCATTTTATTTTTTAACCACTCACCATTCTGTCAAATCGTAATCAACTGTCTTTTTTTCTGATGTGGGAATTGGAGCAAAATGGGAGCCTGATAAGAATAAAGGAAGGGCCCACGGCCTTGTAGAGTTTTTAAAAAAGAACAGGATATAAATGCTCTAAATAAATAAATAAGATAATTACGTTACGATTCATAACAGTAGCAAAATTACATTATGGAGTAGCAACTAAAATAATTTTATGGTTGGGGGTCACCACAACATGGGGAATCATATTAGGGGGTCACAGCATTAGGAAGGTTGAGAACCACTGCCTTAGAGCCTTTAGTATTTGCCTGCTTAGACCCCATTGTGTTGTGTTTGTCCGACCCGTCCCCCCCGCACTTCACTCCAGGTTCCCTCGGCCAGTGACCGTGGAGCCCATGGATCAGTATGATGACGAGGAGGGGCTGCCAGAAAAGCTGGTCATCAAAAACCAGCAATATCACAAGTGAGTGCCAGGTGGGACCCTTTGGGGCAAAACAGAATATCTTGAAGAATCGCATGTGTAGCTGTGTGTCCCTGGCTTCTGCAGAGAGCCAGGAATGTGTGGATCTCCTCCACTGACTGTACTCCACTTCTTTGCAGGGAGCGTGAGCAGCCTCCCCGCTTTGCTCAGCCTGGGTCCTTTGAGTATGAGTACGCCATGCGCTGGAAGGCCCTGATCGAGATGGAGAAGCAGCAGCAAGAACAGGTAGACCGCAACATCAAAGAGGCCCGGGAGAAGCTCGAGATGGAGATGGAGGCAGCTCGCCACGAGCACCAAGTTATGCTCATGCGGCAAGGTGAGGAGCAGCCTCTCACTTGGGGGAGGAAGGGGAGGGCGCCTCTGGTACTTTGTGCTGAGCAGAGGCACTCATCTGCTCTACTGCCGTTGCTTTTTTCAGACCTGATGAGGCGTCAGGAAGAGCTGCGAAGAATGGAGGAACTGCATAACCAGGAGGTGCAGAAGCGTAAACAGCTGGAGCTCAGGTGAGCCAGGAAAAGAGGGAGCCGCTCCTAGGATCAGGGCAGCACAAGGCTGGTAGAGGCACAATAGGAGCCTAAGAACATGTGTGCACAGAATCCACTGCTTGTGGTGGATTATCCTGCTTGGAAGATGATAGGGTTGGTCACTGGTTGAGGAAAGGGTGGGGAGTGTGTCATTGAAGACTTTTATGGCTGGAATCACTGGGTTCCTGTGAGTTTTCCAGGCTGCATCCCCCCTCTGGCACCAACTGCTGCTCTGGCCAGAGTGAAGACAAAGGAGAGCAGAAGACATTTCCATCTTGTCTTTATTAATAATACAATATAGTATATTGTATATACATATCATATTTATAATACTATAATGTAATACAATATAATACTAATAATAATAATACAATATTATAATTATAATTATATATTTACATTACATGTAATATTACTAATAATATTTCAATATAATGGTATAGTGCAATATAGTAATATATAATACTGATATTGTAATATGCTTATAATATATTGTATTGTATCTTGTAAGCCATTCTGAGTCCTCTTCAGGGTGAGAAAGGCGGCATATAAATGTCGTAAACGAATAAATAAAATAAGAGATGAGCAGAGTGGAATATAAATGCCGCAAATATAAACAGATAAATAATGTAGTATGTTGTATGTACATATGACTTGTAAGCCACTCTGAGTCCCCTTCGGGGTGAGAAGGGCAATATATAAATGTTGTAAACAAATAAATAAAATAAATACATGCATATTGTAATGATGATAATAATGCCCCTCATCCATTACAATTGGCCATGGCAGTGTTGAAGTTCTAGACATCAAGAGGAGACAAGGTTTCCCATTCTTGGACTAATATATAGAAGATAGACTTGGGAGACCCCAGTGGCGCAGTGGGTTAAAGCGCTGAACCTACTGAGCTTGTTAACCGAGAGGTCACAGATTCAAATCTGGGGAGCGGCGTGAGCTGCCGCTGTCAGCCCCAGCTTCTGCCAAGCTAGCAGTTCGAAAACATGCAAATGTGAGGAAAATGGCGGGAAAGTAATGGCACTCCATGCAGTCATGCCGGACACAGGACCTTGGAGGTGTCTATGACCAACGCCGGCTCTTCGGCTTAGAAATGTAGATGAGCACCAACCCCCAGAGTCGGCCATGACTGGACTTAATGTCAGGAGAAAACCTTTAGCTTTACTACACTTGGAAGAAACCACAAGGGCTATCCAGTCCAACCCCGCCTGCTATGCAGGAAAGCACAATCAAAGCACCCCTGACAGATGGCCATCCAGCTTCTGTTTAAAATCCTCCAGGAAATAGGATTCCACCATACTCTGAGGCAGCAGCATTTTCCACTGCTAAAAAGCTCTCCCTAATGTTTAGGTGAGATATGGAGGTCATTCTTTGAGTTTAAAGATCCTTTCCAGCTTACCTGAGTGGTATCTTTGGCATTGGTCTGGTTTTGTGGGGAAAGGGTTAGCAGGGACTCAGCACCATGCTCTGTCCCTGTCTCTTTCTGTCTTTGATAGTCCACCGTTGCATAGAGCCTTATACTAGAGTTACTAAATTTGGGATTCAGGCTGTCGGTTGGTTCTTAGCTGAGCCGCCCTTCAAGAGTTCGGGTGGTTGCATTAGCCATAAGCCTGGCTGAGTCTTTTTAGGGGGCTGAATGCACGAGCTTCCTTTCCAGGCAAGAGGAGGAGCGCCGGCGCCGCGAGGAAGAGATGCGGAGGCAGCAGGAGGAGATGATGAGGCGACAGGAAGGCTTCAAGGGTGCCTTCCCCGATGCGGTAGGGAGCCTCTTTTTGCCGTCAGGGCAAGCATTACCCCCCCCCCCCTTTTGCTGTGCAGTGCTTCCCTTTGGAAGCAAGCCTTAGGGTGTAACTGATGTCTTTTGAGACTGTCTTCTCTTTCGATCTTGCAGAGGGAGCCTCCAGATATGCGAATGAGCCAGATGGGCATGGGAGGTAAGTTGTTCTCATTGGGATGGGAAGTGCTTGATTGAGTCTGAATTGATGTTTTTATACTTGGAGGTGTTTTATTTTATTGTATCTTAAATTGTGTTCACTTTTATGTTTGTTTTTAGGCACTTTGTGCCATCTGTAAGCTGCCCTGAGTGCCTTTGGGGAGATGGTGGTGGGATTATTATTATTATTATTATTATTATTATTCTGACACAAAAACACAGTATGTCACAGCAAGTGAGATCTATATGCTGGATTTCGTATCACAAAATCACAAGTCGAATACTTCCCAAGCGTTTAGGACTATGATATATTTTTGAATGATGCGCGCAGATCCAGGTAAGGTAGCCTTTTGCAGTTGACAGATCGTGATTTTGTTAATGTTTATTGTTTCCAACTGCCGACTGAGATCTTTTGGCACGGCACCCAGTGCACCAATGATCACTGGGACCACCTGGACTGGTTTATGCCAGAGCCTTTCCAGTTTGATTTTGAGGTCCTGATAACAGCTGAGTTTTTCATGTGCAGCGGGTTATACCTCTAGATGCAGGAAATCTGCTGACCGGAGGGTTAGCAGTTCTAAACCGGAAGTCAGAGTGAGCTCCCGGCTGTCAGCCCTAGCTTCTGCCCACATAGCAGTCTGAAAGCATGTAATACAAGCAGATCAATAGGTGCTGCCTCGGTGGGGAGGTAGAAGGGCGCCTCATGCAGACATTCCGGCAACACGATTGGAGGAGTCTAGACAACAGACCCCTCGGCATGGAAAAAATGGAACAAGAGTACCTGCTCATGACCAGAGTTGAGCATCACCTCCAGATATCAGAAATGGAAAGGGAAGGCCTTTACCTCTGTCTGTGTATTGTATGTCATTGTTTACTGTGTAAAAAGGCATTGAATGTTTGCCTTATATATGCCTTATATATTATATATATGTATATAATATAATATAATATATTGTATATACGTCTATATAAATAAAAATGTAATGTTCGTTTGTGGGATTAACAGAACTCAAAAACCATTAGACACCTAACAACCCAATGTATGTCCTTCATTCAAAAAAATGATTTTATCATTTGGGAGTTGTAGTTGCTGGGATTTATAGTTCACCTACAATCAAAGAACATTCTGAACCCTACCAATGATGGAATTGAAACAAACTTGGCACATAGATCTCCCATGACCAACGGAAAATATTGGAAGGGTTTGGTGGGCAGTGTCCTTTGATTTTGGAGTTGTAGTTCACCTACATCCAGACAGCACTGCGGACTCAAAACAATGATGGATCTGGACCAAACTCTACACGAATGCTCAATATGCCCAAATGTGAACACTAGTGGAGTTTGGGGAAAATAGAATCTTGACATTTGGAAGTTGTAGTTGCTGGGAGTTGTAGTTCACCTACAATCACAGAGCATTCGGAATCCCACCAATGATAGAATTGGGCCAAACCTCCCACACAGAACCCACATGTGGGCCACAGCAACATGTGGCAGAGGACAGCTAGTATTAAATATTAACTAGGTATTTTTAATTACCAAAATGTGAGTCAGACATTGAAAGGGTTAAATGGACGCTATGACTCAGCAAAAGGTGTCCTTCAATATAAGCAGGCGTGCCTGTAGCTTAGTAGCCCTCAGTCTGTGAGAGGTCTCTGTGGAAGAAGGGCCTCAGTGTGTTAGTAGGCCTCAGTGTTAGTTCGCCTCAGTATATGAGAGGCATCAGTCTGAGAGAGCCTTCAGTGTCAGAAGGCCTCAGTGTGGGCCACAGCAACGTGTGGCAGGGGATGGCTAGTATATTTATAATATTGTAATGTAATATTATAATAAATATTATACTATATCATATAATATTATTAGTAATATTTATACAATATAATGGTATAGTATAGTATTTAATACTATACTATATTTAATACTGATATTGTACTATGCTAATAATATATTGTGTGTGTGTGTGTGTGTGTGTGTGTATATATATGTGTGTGTATATATATATCTTGTAAGCTGCTCTGAGTCCCCTTTGGGGTGAGAAGGGCAACATATAAATGTAATAAATAAAACTGTAATCCGCTCTTGAGTCCTTCTGGGGAAATAAAGCAGAATATAAATAAAGTTTATTATTATTATTTCTTCTCCCAGGTGCCATCGGCATGAACAACCGGCCGGCCATGGGAGGCACTGCTGTCCCAGCGGGGCCACCTCCCACCACTGGCCCTGGACCAATGATTCCCGATGGAACCATGGGCATGGTAAGCACGGGCCCTTTGGGGAGGAGAAGCGCCTTTCCTGCCACACTGAGTCCCAGCAGGAAAGGGAGAGCAGCCCATAGATTGGCTTCCCCTTCTCTGCATCGCCTTGCAGCCTGGGAGCTCTGGGATCAGGGGTCTTCTTGAGGGGAGCGTTCCTGACCCTCCTTTTCTCCTTCCCTCTTTCTATGGCAGACCCCGCCGCCACCCCCTGACCGCTTTGGCCAGACCACTCCAATGGAAGGCCTGGGGACGATGGGAGGAAGCGCACCTGCCTTCAACCGGGGAGCTCCTGGTGCTGATTTCGGCCCCAACAAGCGCCGCAGATACTAACAGAGGGATGGGAGGCAGAGGCGTTTCTTGCGAGAGACCCTCAAGGCTTTCTTTCCTCCTTTCTTTCTTTGGGCCAGATTTGTCCAGGGTTTAGGCAACGGCGATGATTCCCCCCCCTTCCCCCGTGCATTCCTGCAAAGCGCAATGTGAAAGCGGACCCCAGGAGGCTCCAAATAGCTGTGTAGTGTGTGTGTTTATATATGAGTGTGAGGCCGGGTTAGGACCCTGGCGCCTCTCCCATTCCCAGGCCCCTCCACACAGGCCCAGCTCCACAGGGGCCTTTCGTTGAGGTTGGGGGGCTGCCCATGTCTGTAGCCGCAGAGAGCTTATCATGTATTGGGGGGGGGGGGTTAGTGGGAGGGCAAGGGGGAGTTAGTTTTTAAAAAAAATCAAAACTTGTACCTTTTTACTTTTCTTTCTCTGGACCATTTTCCCTCCTCCTTTTGGTTGCCGCGCAGCGGTGGGGCTGGCGATCCTGGGGGGCGAGAATTATCCAATGTGTCGTACTGGTCTTTTCTCTTTTTTTCTGATTTTTTTTTAAACTGGTAGAAAAAGTACACAACGATTGGATGAAGAAGAAAAGAACTGTTTCCTGCCGAAGTCTCAAAAACGACTCTTTGTATAACCCTAACTTTGCCTGTCTTGTGTTAGAAGTATGAGGCTTTTTTCATTTCTTTCTTTGTGAACCTGAGCTGTAATCGTCCACTAACAGGTTGAGTTCGTCTGAAGACCGTTAACAGGAATGCGTTTATTAAAAGGGATTTTAAGCCTTTTTTCCCCCCTTGGTGTACCGTGTCTTCTGTTTCTGAGGCTGGTGTGCTTCTGAGTTGTGGCCACTGGAGGGAGAGGGAAACCTGGCCCTTCCTTCCTTCCTTCAGTCTCTCTCTTGGAAATGGCTGCTGGGCTTTTGATCCTGAAGGCTTTTCCTGTGCCATGGATTCAAGGAATAAGTCAGGAAAATGAATGGGTTTGAGACCTTTCTCTTTCTGTGGAATTTAGGGCTCCCATCCTCCCTTTCTCTCTTTGTTCTTTCTTTTTCTCCTGCAGTTATGGAGGTGTGTGTGTTCCTGAGCGTGGCCTCTTTTTATAGGGAACCCGATCCCGGGGTCATAGGGTTTTGGGAAAAAATGGCAGTCATAACTTTTTGGAAAAGGAAAAATGATGTCATATCCATTTGGCAAATGTGAATCTCCCTGAACATCTGGAAATAACCTTTTGAAATCCACTAGTGAAGGAGAGGCATGGCCTTGTTAAAAGTCAACCATCTGAACGAGTGATGTTCACAAGCATTCATGTAATGACACACAGGTAACTCAGCTGTTACACCGATAAACCATGTCTTTGAACTGCCAGGGACAAAGTTATGCGACTGCACAAAAAAACATATACTGTATATACTCGAGTATAAACCTAGTTTTTCAGCCCCTTTTTTAGGCTAAAAAAGTTCTCCTAGGCTTATACTCGAGTCAAGGTTATTTATTATTTTACGCTGTTATTAGTATTATTGTTATTACATTTATTATTTTACTCTATTATTATTATTATTACCTTTACATTATTTTACTGTACTATTATTTTATTATGTTTATTATTTTACTCTATGTATTATTATTACATTTATTATTTTACTCTATTACTGTTATTAAATTTCCATTATTTACTCTTATTATTATTATTATTATTATTACATTTATTATTTTATTATTATTAGAAGGATGCGTAAGCACATTGACATTGAAGAAGATTAGAATAATGGTTTCATCAGAGTTGGATAGTCTTCTCTTAAATTACAGTTTTATGTAAATACACAAAAACGTTTAACCCACTGATGATTTTCAGTAGCAGCTGCATTTTTCACCCTCGGATTATACTCAAAGTCAATACATTTTCCAAGTTTCTTGTCATAAAATTAGGTGCCTTGGCTTGTATTCGGGTTGGTTTATTCTCTAGTATATATGGTACTTAGCTAGCAGAGTTTTAAAATGTTTCTTTGCAGTCGCAGTTACTCTCCCTTGAAACCTCTTAGTTTAAAACGGGGTCTTCAAACTAAGACCCTGGGCTTAATACAGCCCTCCAAGGTCATTTACCCGGCCCTCACTCAGGGTCAACCTAAGTCTGAAACAACTTGAAGGTGCACAACAACAATCCTGTCCCATCAAACAAAAGCAGACCCAAACTTCCCACTGAAATACTAATGTTTTTATTTATTTATTTACGACATTTATATGCTGTCCTTCTCACCCCGAAGGGGGCTCAGAGCAGCTTACAAGGTATATATATACATACAATACACTACACTATTAGCATAGTACAATATCAGCATTAAACACTGCTATATTGTACTGTACTGTACTATTATTAGTAATATTACATGTAATATAAATATATAATTACATTATCACATTATATTGCATTACATTATAATATAAATATTAAATGTATATACAATATATTTGTTAAAATTGTTCTTCATTTTAATTATTGTATTGTTTTAAAGTTGGGATTTTTTGCACTACAAATAAGATATGTGCACTGTGCATAGGAATCAATTCATGCTTTTTTCAAATTATAATCCGGCCCTCCAAGAGTTTGAAGGACTGTGACCTGGCCCTCTGTTTAAAAAGTTTGAGGACCCCTGGTTTAAAATATGCACTCAGAGATTTAAAAAAAAACCCAACCAAAGTCTTCTTTGGAAAATAACATATCTTGTTTACTTACAAACATCTTGTATTAATTCACCACACATGCACATTCCTTAATAAAGTTTGGTTACAGATAGGATGTAGTTTCTATATGTTGAGAGCCCAGGGCATCATTCTTAATCAATAGTCCAAAGTCTTTAAGTATGCATCTTATAAAAAGTCCAAACTGTAGAATTTTACTCTTTGCTTCTCAAAACAAACATATAGTAAACCAATGCTGCCTAAGTCCAAAAACATACTTATTCCATTGAAGTTCAAAAGCATAGGTAGGTAAAGATAAAGGTTTTCCCCTGACATTAATTCCAGTTGTGTCCAAATCTGGTGTGTGGTGCTCATCTCCATTTCTAAGCCGAAGAGCCAGCGTTGTCCGTAGACACCTCCAAGGTCATGTGGCCGGCATGACTGCATGGAGCACTGTTACCTTCCCGCCGGAGCGGTATCTATTGATCTACTCACATTTGCATGTTTTCGAACTGCTAGGTTGGCAGAAGCTGGGGCTGACAGCGGAAGCTCACGCCGCTCCCTGGATTCAAGCGTTGCTCCTTTCAGTCAACAAGCTTAGCAGCTCAGTGGTTTAACCCACAGCATACAGATAACAAAATTGAGTCTTGAGTCTGAACATGCTCAGTACAATCCCATGTCTGTAGCGTCTCCCACACCAAAAAGGTTAGTCAAACTGACAAATCTTCATATATATATATAATACAGGTTAGCAAATCTATACATAAACAGCGAAGGCTTGAAATGTTGCTATTTCAAATATAGGTGTCCACAAGGGGAAGGGGGACATAGACTAACATCCCAACAAAGGATTCCTCCAGGCAGAAAATAGGCTTTGAAACTGCAATGCTAGTCATTGCTGATCAAGGTGGCTAATTTCAACATTCACACTTACCTCCAACTGATAAAAGGAGTTCTTTCTTCCACCCTGGACATTATTCCACAGGTATATAAGCCTCACTTTCCTAGTTTTCAACTTCTGAGGATGCCTGACATAGATGTGGGCAAAATGTCAGGAGAGAATGCTTCTGGGACACCATTGGCCATACAACCTGGAAAACACAGGAACTCGGTGATTCCGGCCATGAAAGCCTTCGACAACGAATCTGGAAAAGCTCACTGGACCAATGTCTTGGTTCACTGGTCTGGGGCCATTTCTGATGCTCTCCAAACCCAACAAAATATATTCAAAAGGAGAAGCTTCTATTCCAATTTTGACTGAGAATTTCTGAGTCTTTGGAAGGATTGCTTCCGTCCTCAGAGTGTACCGTGACTGTTGTCTTGGAGCAGTTTAGTGACTCCAGATAAGAGCCAGACTGGATGGCCCTTTCCTGAAGGCACCTGGGCCTTCTCCAAACAAGGAGGAAGGAGGTCAGGGGGCTGTGGGATGATCGACTGCTCAACTGCTCAAAGGTCACTCTGCTGCTTGCAAACCTGGTCAGGAGAGGCTCACGCCACAGAGCTGCCAGAGGCTGGAACCCTGCTTTGCGGTATGTACACTTCAGCGTAGGCTTAAAGGGAGGAATAGGTGAGACAGGCAGGTTTCTACTGTGGATGGATAGGAGAGGGAGTAAAGATTTCCTGTGCATTTTAAGTGTGTTTGATTTGAGGGTGGTCCTGGGAGATCATTATTAGGGGTGAAAGCACCAAGAACAAAACATGGGTCAGTGGGAGAGTCCAAAGGGTCCACCTCAAGGACTTGGATCCAATCAGAATAATAGAGTTGTTAGAGACTGCATGGGGCATCCAGTCCAACCCCCTGCCATGCAGGAAAAGCACAGTCAAAGCACCCCTGACAGATGTCCATCCAGCCTCTATTTAAAAGACTTCAAGAAAGGAGCCTCCACTACATTTTGAGGCAGAACACCTCTTTCCTTCAGGAATTTCTTCCTAATATTCAGGTGGAATGTGTTTTCCTGCAGTTTATATCCATGGCTCCATTGTGTCCTAGTCTCTGGAACAGCAGAAGGCAAGCTTGGCCCTTTTCTCCTCAATTTATTTATTTATCGTGTCATCAGCAACCATTGTATTACAATTCTAACAGAGCAAAACACACACACAGATTAAAAAGAAAAAAAACAGATTTTGCAAATTTGGTAGTTGGTTAAATGTCCTTTGACCAGTATCTGGCCACTTGGAGTGCCTCTGGTGTTGCCGCAAGAAGGTCCTCCATTGTGCATGTGGCAGGGCTCAGGGTGCATTGCAGCAGGTGGTCAGTGGTTTGTTCTTCTCCGCACTCGCATGCCAAGGATTCCACCCTGTAGCCCCATTTCTTAAGATTGGCTCTGCATCTCGTGGTGCCAGAGCGCAGTCTGTTCAGCGCCTTCCAAGTCGCCCAGTCTTCTGAGTGCCCAGCGGGGAGTCTCTCATCTGGTATCACCCATGAATTGAGGTGCTGGGTTTGGGCCTGCCACTTTTGGACTCTCGCTTGCTGGGGTGTTCCAGCGAGTGTCTCTGTAGATCTAAGAAAACTATGTCTTGATTTAAGTCGTTGACGTGCTGGCTGATACCCAAACAGGGGATGAGCTGGAGATGTCTCCGCCTTGGTCCTTTCACTATTGGCTGCTACTTCCCGGCGGATGTCAGGTGGTGCAATACCGGCTAGACAGTGTAATTTCTCCAGTGGTGTAGGGCGCAGGCACCCCGTGATAATGCGACATGTCTCATTCAGAGCCACATCCACTGTTTTAGTGTGGTGAGATGTGTTCCACACTGGGCATGCATACTCAGCAGCAGAGTAGCATAGCGCAAGGGCAGATGTCTTCACTGTGTCTGGTTGTGAGGCATCATTTCCAGTGTTGAAGCATGGCTCTCATCATCTTCTCTCAGCCTTCCCTTAGGAGACCCCAGTGGTGCAGTGGGTTAAACCCTTGTGCCAGCAGAACTGCTGACCAAGTCAGTGATTCGAATATAGGGGGAGCAGATTGAGCTTCCTCTGTATTGTCGAAGGCTTTCATGGCTAGAATGACTAGGTTCTTGTGGGTTTTTTTGGGCTATATGGCCATGTTCTAGAGGCATTTTCTCCTGACGTTTCACCTGCATCTATGGCAAGCACCCTCAGAGCATCTATGGCAAGCAACCCAATAGACCTCACTACCTCTGAGGATGCTTGCCATAGATGCAGGCGAAACGTCAGGAGAACATGGCCATATAGCCCAAAAAAACCCACAAGAACCTTGAGCTTCCTCTGTCAGCTCCAGCTCCCCATGCAGGGACATGAGAGAAGCCTCCCATAACGATGGGGAAAAAAATCAAACATGCAGGCATCCCTTGTGCAATGTCCTTGCAGACGGCCAGTTCTCTCACATTAGAAGTGACTTGCATTTTTTCAAGTAGCTCCTGACACGAAAGTCTTCCCTTCTCCAAGCTTTTTTTTTTTGTCATGTCAGGAGCGACTTGAGAAACTGCAAGTAACTTCTGATGTGAGAATTGGCCGTCTGCAAGGACGTTGCCCAGGGGACGCCCGGATGTTTTGATGTTTTATCATCCTTGTGGAAGGCTTCTCTCATGTCCCTGCATGGGCAGCTGGTGCTGACAGAGGGAGCTCAACCTGCTTCCCCCAGATTCGAACCAAGTTAAACACAGTTCCTCAGAGGGATTCATGGCTTCCAGATCTTTGGCTATTTTGTCCACCCTTTTGTTGGACTTCCATCTTCTCCATCTCCTCCTAGAATCACTTTGTCCAGAACTGGACACAGTTGTATTCCAGGTGAGCTCTGACCACATTGGGAGTATGACTTCCCTTGATCGGGACCCGCACAAAACCCGCAACACCCTTTGAGAGAGGAGGACGTTGAATTGTTCATTCACTCCACTGCAATATGGTCATTCCCCTCCCCTTTCATCACGAGGTCGCAGGGCAGCAAACAGATAACCATTTAAACTACTCCCGGCTAAAACCAGTCAATAATTTAAAGAAGATAAAAATCTAAGGTAACGCAAGCCAAAAAAGAGCTTGAAAGGAGTTAAAGACATGTTTGTGCTGAGGCCCTAAAGGATTTTGCAAACAGATGCATCTTATGTCAATGCTAAACATAAACCCACGGTTGGGGCTTTCTGGTTCATGGCGGCCTCTCGGCAAACCCATGGCAGGCCTTTCTTGGCATTATCTGCTCCAAAGAGGCCTCCCATTGCCTTCGTCCGAGGTTGAGAGTGTGTGACTTGTTTTTCTACAGAAAACAGTCATAGTCCAACGTCGGTAGTATTTTACTCGTTTATGAGAGGTGTTCATTAAAGATTTCCCCTGACCCACTTCCTGTGGACTGAGAACAATGGAACTTGGCCCAGTTCTGAGTCCTTCTCTCCATCGGTGCCACCGAGGGACACACACTTCTCCCATCTTGTTAAGCAAGTGTAAACACCTCGCTTGTAGAAGTCGACAGGTTGCTCCAAAAGCCATGTTGTGACTTTGGAAATCAGAGTCTCATCTGAAAAATGCTTTCCCTTCAAAAAATAACTTCATTGTTGGAAAGAGGTGGAAGTCCAATGGTGCGAGGTCGGGTGAAGAAGGGAGATGTGGGAGAATGTCAAAGCCACAGGAGGATGTTTCCATTTGGGCAACAGGTGAGTTGTGAATTGGTGCATTGTCTTGCAGAAGGCGGACATCTTTGGGGAGAATGCCACATTGTCTCTTGGTTTTGATGGCCTCCCGCAATGTCTGCAGCAGTGAAGCAGTCTGTCCCAGTGATCATGTCACCCTGTGCTAGGAAATCCATCTGTCCTACTCCGTGCTGGTCCCAAAATACTGTGAGCGTGACCTTGCCTGCTGACAGTTGGGCACATGCCTTCTTTGGAGGTGGTGAGTCATGATGCTTCTATTGCATCAACTGGACATTAGTCTCAGGATCAGAGGGATGGACCCAGCTTCCATCCTGTGTGATCAGTCTGTTGAAAAAGCCCTCCTGATTTCCGTAACACATTGTCAAGTGAGCCTGAGAGCATTCAACTCGTCCTTGCTTCTGGAAAGGTGTGAGCAGCCAGGGGACCCAATGAGAGGATACCTTATGCATGGGAAGATGGTTTTGGATGATTTTTTTCCCACAAACCCCACAGCAATATTGACATTTTGGGCTTGGTGGTGAATGGTTATGCAGCGATGTTCCAAAATGGCATCCTCCACTTGCTTTCTCTTCATCCTGGAAAGAAGTGAGAAGTGGAGTGCCGCAGGGTTCCGTCCTGGGCCTGGTCCAGTTCAACATCTTTATTAATGACTTAGATGAAGGGCTAGAAGGCAGGATCATCAAGTTTGCAGACGACACCAAATTGGGAGGGATAGCCAGTACTCCAGAGGACAGGAGCAGGATTCAAAACGATCTTGACAGATTAGAGAGATGGGCCAAAACTAAAAAATGAAGTTCAACAGTGACAAATGCAAGATACTCCACTTTGGCAGGAAAAACGAAATGCAAAGATACAGAATGGGGGACATTGCCTGGCTCGAGTCAGTATGTGTGAAAAAGATCTTGGAGTCCTCGTGGACAGCAAGTTAAAAATGTCATGTGGCGGCAAAAAAAGCCAATGGGATTCTGGCCTGCATCGATAGGAGCATAGATCCAGGGAAGTCATGCTATCCATGCTCTATTCCGCCTTGGATAGACTACACTTGGAATATTGTGTCCAATTCTGGGCACCACATTTGAAGAGAGATATTGACAAGCTGGAATGTGTCCAGAGGAGGGCAACTAAAATGATCAAGGGTCTGGAGAACAAGCCCTATGAAGAGCAGCTTAAAGGCTGAGAGGAGATATGATAGCCATGTATAAATATGTGAGAGGAAGTCACAAGGAGGAGGGAGCAAGCTTGTTTTCTGCTTCCCTGGAGACTCGGACGCAGAACAATGGCTTCAAAACTACAGGAAAGGAGATTCCATCTGAACATGAGGAAGAACTTCCTGACTGTGAGAGCCGTTCAGCAGTGGAACTCTCTGCCCCAGAGTGTGGTGGAGGCTTTTAAACAGAGGCTGGATGGCCATCTGTCAGGGGTGCTTTGAATGCAATATTCCTGCTTCTTGGCAGAATGGGGTTGGACTGGATGGCCACGGTCTCTTCCAACTCTATGATTCTATGACAGTGTGTTCATCAATAGCAAATTGGGGTCGCCCTGGAATTGGAGCTGTTTGCACCGAAGTCCGACCACATTTGAATGGACAATGCCAGTTCTTGACTACTTCATATGATGGGGAATCCTCACCGTAAACCTTTTTCATCTAACATCTCCTTTGGTGTGCAGTCTTTAAAGTAAAGGAACTTGAGGACTGCTCTGTATTCCAGTGGGTCCATTCTCAAACCTCACACCACTTCAGCATATGTAACATCAAGACCATTATCAATTCTGGGTTGTAAATTGGCACATAACCTATAGAGACTTATATCATGACACAAGCACAGTTTCAGCATCCTGTGATACATAGAGCATGTCAGGGGAAATGTTTAATGAACACCCCTCATATGTCCTTCTCTTTGTGGGACTTAAGGCAACATGCTGAAAATGATACAGATTAAAGCTATGCAAACTCATCGATTTCTTTCATATTGCAATGTTATAACTCTTTGATGCCCTGTTCAACTGCTGCATCTCTGTCCTGGGGATCCTGGGAGATGCAGTTCGGTGAGGCATTAAGCCCTCCCTGGCAATAAATCTTGCACGACTCATTAAACCACAAATTCCAGGATTCCATCGCCTGCTCAAATGGGGCCAAAGTGCCACAATTGTGTGCCATAAAAAGCCGTCTGGAGGCTTCTGGATGGCAATCCCACAGTGTGACCACGCGGCAAACAGACGTAAATATTGATCGGAAGGCTGCCAGGGCAAAGGGGCAGCTGAGGTGACTTGAGAGCGGAAGTTGTCGGAGGAGGAGCCAAGTGCCAGAGTCCAAATGCCATAGTTGTGGGCCAAGGGCCCAGTTTTCTGCCCACCAAAGATGCCCCAGAGCCCTGTGCTTTGTTTTGAAGGAGCAATAGGTTTTCAAGTTTAAAAGTCCAGAACCGAATGTAATTGAAATCCAAACAATTAAAAACAAACAAAACAAAACACAGATGCTGAAATAAAACAAAATAAAATAATAATTTATTTTCCCCCAATATACATTATAATTTCAGCCTCAACCCATCCTTGTTGTCTTTTAATGCTGTGAGCCGCATTGTGTCAAGTGATGAAAGTGGGATAATAATAAAAACTTTCTAGCAGCACTTTGCTTTTAAGTTCTGCTCTCCCAAACTGGGAGAAAGGTGAGAGCTAAACTGCAAAAGCCAATTATTTATCCTCCGTAGTGGAAATACCTGCTTTGGGGCCCGATACCTCCCTTCCTGGTCATTTGTTTCTCTGCCAAGATGCCGGCCGAACCCCCTCAAGTCCATCCAGTGGTGCAAATGCTGATTGACCTCACAGCCGGGGCAGCAGGTAAGAGGAGCAAAAGGCTTAAGTGGGTTCATTTGGGAGACATAGAGCTCCGTGGCCTCTGCCATTTTGTAGATGGAAACTGGGACACATTAGACAGAAAGGTTATGAATGCATTTACTTGGAGAGGCAGAAGATGGAGCACTCAATTGAACACATTCTAGCAGGAGAGCAGAATGGAGGGTGAGTCCTGGCACCATAACAAGCAACTAAGTAAACACATAGAGTCTCTTTGCAAGTTGCAGAAACAAACTGCTGAAACTTTGAAAATGGTAGCAAGTTAACATGCTTCCCAATAGGCAGACACAGGGGTGTTGTGTGGTTTCTGGGCTGTATGGCCATGTTCTAGCATTTTCTCCTGACGTTTATTTATTTATTCACTGTATTTGTATACCGCCTTTCTCAGCCTTTCAGCGACTCAAGGCGGTTTACAGGCAACAAGTAATATACATAATATCAAAAAGCACATAAAAACATTAAATCTATATATATAAATCTGTTAGGTTGGTTCAACGGGACAACAAAACTCTAAAAAACCCCAACGAAACTGCACCAAAATTGCCATGCCCATAACACAACCCACAAGGTACAAACATATTACTCAAAATGAAAAACAACACAACAACACACTCACAAAACGGCAAAACAACAAAACTCAAAAAAACCCCCAACGAAACTTAACCAAAATTCCCATGCCCATAACACAACCCACAAGGTACAAACATATCTACTCAAAATGAAAAACAACACAACAACACACTCACAAAACGGCAAAACAACTGAGCATGCGCATTGGCGCCCAGCCACAAGTTCCCTGGCACGCGCACACAGCCTTCCGGCCAACATTCCCTCTGTGGAAGCCATGCCCACTCCAAACCCCGCTGCGCCGTTTCCCGCACACACACACACCCTGCCGCACGCACACACACAACCCCACGCTCCATCACTCCCCCCGCCGCCGCACACACACACGCAACCCCACGCTCCATCACTCCCCCGCCGCCGCACACACACACGCAACCCCACGCTCCATCACTCCCCCCACCGCCGCACACACACGCAACCCCACACTCCATCACTCCCCCCGCCGCCGCACACACACACGCAACCCCACTCCCCCCACCCGCACACACACACGCAACCCCATGCTCCATCACTCCCCCCGCCGCCACACACACACAACCCCACGCTCCATCACTCCCCCCGCTGCCGCACACACACGCAACCCCACGCTCCATCACTCCCCCTGCCACCGCACACACACACGCAACCCCACGCTCCATCACTCCCCCGCCGCCGCACACACACACGCAACCCCGTGCTCCATCCACACCCCATGCCGCACGCACACACACAACCCCACGCTCCATCCCTCCCCCCGCCGCACACACACACGCAACCCCACGCTCCATCACTCCCCCCACCGCCGCACACACACACGCAACCCCACGCTCCATCACTCCCCCCCTGCCGCACACACACACACACCCCACGCTCCATCACTCCCCCCACCCCACACACACACGCAACACCACTCCCCCGCGCCGCACACACACACGCAACCCCCGCTCCATCACTCCCCCGCCGCCCGCACACACACACGAACCCCACGCTCCATCACTCCCCCCCACAATCTTACCTCCTTTTACTTCACGCCACCTCCAAAACCCCACCCCGCCCCTTCCCGCCCTGTCAAAATCCAGGAAAGACAGGAAGGAAGGAAAGAAGGAAGAAAGAGAAAGGGAGGTAAAGAAAAAGGGGGAAGGAAGGAAAGTTAGAGAAAGAAGGAAGAAGAAAAGGAAAGAAAAGGAAAGATGGAAGGAAAGAAAAGAGAGACAGCAGAAGAGAAAGAAAAAGGGGGAAGGAAGGAAAGAGGTAGAGAAGGAAGAAATGAGAGACAGAGGGAGGGAAAGAAAAAGGGGGAAGGAAGGAAGGAGAGAAGGAAAGAAAAAAGGGAATGAAGGAAGGAAAGAGGGAGTGAAGGAAGGGAAAGATGTAGAGAAAGAGGGAGGGAAGGAAAAGAAGGAAAGAGAGAAGGAAGAAAAGAGACAGCAGAAGAGAAAGAAAAAGGGGGAAGGAAGGAAAGAGATAGAGAAAGAAGAGGAGAAGGAAAGATGGGAGGGAAGGAAGGAAGGAAGGAAGGAAGGAAGGAAGGAAGGAAGGAAGGAGGGAAAGAAGGAGAGAAAGAGGGAAGATTGGCCACAGCAACACGTGGCGGGTAAAGGTTGTTATTTCTATTATTATTATTATTATTATTATTATTATTATTATTATTATGCTATTGTTCCTATGAGACCCTTTTAGGGGGAATGGGAGAGGTGTCAGGTCCCAGAGGCAATGCATTGCATTATTGTTATTGTTATGATGGTGGTGAAATAAAAGGAAATAAAAAGTGAAAGAAGGAAGCAAACAGGGAGGGAAGAAAGGCAAAGGAAGAAAGGGGGAGGGAATGAAGGAAAGAGAGAAGGATGAAACCAAGTAGTGAAAGAAGGAAAGAAAGAAAGAGGTAGAGAAGGAGAGAAAGGGGGAAGAAAAGGGGGAAGGAATAGGTAGGTACCTCTCTTTCATAATAGTCCAGATATCTACCTCAACTTTGATAAGTTTTACTATAGGCCACAGCAACGCGTGGCAGGGCACAGCTAGTAAATATATACAAACATTAAAATCACTTATGAGACAGGTGTTTTTAAAGTCTCTTCCTCAGTCCCCTTCCTCCTTTTAGCAGGCTTGGGAGGGGGAGAGTAGCAACAGGATTTCCTCCTTCTCCTCCTGAGGTGGCAGGCAGATGTAGTAAGCAACAGCCACGAGACAGGTGTTTTTAAAGACACTTCCTCAGTCCCCTTCCTCCTCTTAGCTGGCTTGGGGGGGGGGGGGGGGGAAGAAGCAGGATTTCCTCCTTCTCCTCCTGAGGTGGCAGGCAGATGTAGTAAGCAACAGCCAGGAGACAGGTGTTTTTAAAGTCTCTTCCTCAGTCCCCTTCCTCCTCTTAGCTGGCTTGGGAGGGGGAGAGTAGCAACAGGATTTCCTCCTTCTCCTTCTGAGGTGGCAGGCAGATGTAGTAAGCAATAGCTAGGAGACAGGTGTTTTTAAAGACACTTCCTCAGTCCCCTTCGTCCTCTTAGCTGGCTTGGGCGAGGGAGTAGCAGCAGGATTTCCTCCTTCTCCTTCTGAGGTGGCAGGCAGATGTAGTAAGCAACAGCCAGTAGACAGGTGTTTTTAAAGTCTCTTCCTCAGTCCCCTTCCTCCTCTTAGCTGGCTTGGGAGGGGGAGAGTAGCAACAGGATTTCCTCCTTCTCCTCCTGAGGTGGCAGGCAGATGTAGTAACCAACAGCCAGGAGACAGGTGTTTTTAAAGTCTCTTCCTCAGTCCCCTTCCTCCTTTTAGCTGGCTTGGGAGGAGGAGAGTAGCAGCAGGATTTCCTCCTTTTCCTCCTGAGGTGGCAGGCTGATTGGAATGGATCTGTATCTGGCATCTTCGGAGGATCTGATGGTGGTATAGCAAGTGGAGTATATATACCTGTGGAATGTCCAAGGAAGGAGAGAGAACCATTGTCTGTTAACCAAGTGCCATCTTGACTGGCAAGTGTTGAGTGGGATCCACCCGTTAGCATGCGAAGGTAGCATAGCCAGTATGTGAGGGCATCTGCATAGAATTCTGAAAGGATCAAAGGCCAGGCTGCTTCTATGCAGATATCCCTGTTGGAGGGTGCATGGATCAGAACCCCTTGCTCCTTGCAGGTGGTGTGGCCTGCGTGGTGAGTGGCCAGCCCTTCGACACCATCAAGGTGAAGATGCAGACCTTCCCGGCCCTATACCGGGGCTTCTTTGACTGTTCGGTGCAGACCTACCGCCAGGAGGGCATGCAAGGCCTCTACCAGGGCACCACCCCAGCTCTGCTGGCCAACGTGGCTGAGAACGCGGTGCTCTTTGCCTGCTACGGCTTCTGCCAGGAGGCGGTCCGCAGGCTCTTCGGGCTCGGCAGCGTCCTGCAGCTCAGGTAACCCTAACCCAATCCCTGGGTCGCTTTCTCCTTTGCTTCTGGCAGAAGAGGGAGACAGTGTAACTACACAGGTATCTATAAATATACAATGTAAATACACAAATGTCCTGTTGCTATAAACTTCAGCAAAAGTACCGGTTAGAATAATGATAATAATAATAATAAAACTTTATTTATACCCTGCTACCATCTCCCCAAGGGACTCGGTGCGGCTTACATGAGGCCGAGCCCAAAGTATATCAACAGTAAAAGCAATAAGAAAACAATCAATATAACAGTTAAAATAAATCTCATAAACAAAAGTAAACAATAGACAGTAACAATAACAACAAGCATTTAAAACCTATGGCTGGGCCAAATGTAATCATTTAATACCAAAATACCAAACTAACTCGTATAGTACACAAGTGTGGGAAACAAACACATAGGGACTATTTACAATGGTGTAACAAACATAATATTAATGTTTTCCAAGATAAGTTAAGTAAGTATGTTATTTTGTTAAATTGTTTATATTAGGATTAATATGTATTATATTATAACTGGGTGCTGGTTAGCATATCTATTATTTTGTCCTCTCTACATTTAGTTTATAAAGCCTCAGAAGATATTATTTCAAATGAATGAAGAAACCTTAAAAGAAACCTGAAGAAGGGATACGCCTCCTGAAACAAGGACTATAAACACCCGGGAACCCTTGTTGTATTCCCAATACTTTTTATCACATCTTGAATTCAGATGGGACCATATTGAATATGTTAAAGTGTGTCCACACAACATTTGGAAAATCCAACTAATTATTTTGGTGCTGCACTCTGCTGCTCTGGCCAGAGTGAAGAGAGGGGGGGCCAGAAGAAGTTTCACCATGTCTCCTGTCCTATGCTAATAATATAATATAATATAATATATTGTATATATATATATAATATTTATAATATTATAATGTAATGCAATATAATACTAATACTTTATAATTGGTATAGTACAATATAGCAATATTTAAAATTGATATTGTACTATGCTAATAATATAATATATTGTATGTATATATACCTTGTAAGCTGCTCTGAGTCCCTTTCAGGGTGAGAACAGCAGCATATAAATGTCATAAATAAATAAATAAAAATAATACTAATAATGTGACATAATTATATATTTATATTACATGTAATATTACTGATAATATTACAATATAATGGTATAGTACAATATAGTAATATTTGCTTCCTTCTTGGGAGGAGAGCAATGTCCAATCTCGATAAAATAGTAAAGAGTAGAGACATCACACTGGCAACAAAGATCCGCACAGTCAAAGCCATGGTATTCCCTGTAGTAACCTACGGATGTGAGAGCTGGACCTTAGGGAAGGCTGAGCGAAGGAAGATAGATGCTTTTGAACTGTGGTGTTGGAGGAAAGTTCTGAGAGTGCCTTGGACTGCGAGAAGATCCAACCAGTCCATCCTCCAGGAAATAAAGCCCGACTGCTCATGGAGGGAAGGATACTAGAGACAAAGTTGAAGTACTTTGGCCACATCATGAGGAGACAGCAAAGCCTAGAGAAGACAATTATGCTGGGGAAAGTGGAAGGTAAAAGGAAGAGGGGCCGACCAAGGGCAAGATGGATGGATGGCATACTTGAAGTGACTGGACTGACCTTGAAGGAGCTGGGGGTGGTGACGGCCGACAGGGAGCTCTTGCGTGGGCTGGTCCATGAGGTCACGAAGAGTCGGAGATGAATGAACAACAACAATAATATTTACTACTGATATAGTACTATGCTAATAACATAATATATTGTATGCATATATATATTGTAAGCTGCTCTGAGTCCCCTTCGGGGTGAGAAAGGTGGCATATAAATGTCGTAAATACATAAATAAATAAATGGCACTAAGCCTGACCCTCTTTCTCCTGGATCACAGTGACCTGCACAGTGCCATCGCCGGCTCCTTCTCCTCGGTCTTCTCCTCCATGGTCCTCTGCCCCACAGAGCTGGTCAAGTGCCGGATGCAGGCCCTCCATGAGATGAAGGCCGCCGGGCACACCGCCCTCTCCAGCCGCAGGTAGATCCACAGGAACCGTCAAATGTTAATGTCCTTACATTTGTCCAGGGAGCAGGGATGGAAACATTATGTGACACAATATTTGTTCCTGGGTTATAAATGTCATTGCTTAATTGGTACTGTCATAAAAACATGGAAAATGTTTATTTAACTGCAAAAACGTTGTCTTTGAGGGAGAGACACCCTGCAGCACATTTTGCTATAGTTTTTCAATTAATATGTCATCAACTCTCAACCAGTTCAACAGTTTGTGGCAACCACAAGAATTAAGATTCTGGAGAAGAATAATGTTGCAACTCAGAGTAGATTTCGCCTTGCTCCCAAACACCACCACACCAGAGCTGTAGATGTTGTTGTTTATTGAGGAAAAACAAAGTCAAAACATAGAGTAAGCAATGCAAAGTTCCAAAGACAAAGGTTGAATGCAAAAACATACTTCCCAAGATCCATAGGCAAAAACATGAAGCATAGTCTTTAGGCAATGATCAAACCAGAGTACATGGTAAAACAGTGAAACACAAGACCCAAAAATCCCAGATTCAAGAAGCCAAAAGTGTGCTGCTTATAGCCAAGGTTAATCCATAGAAGCGTGCATGGAAAAGCCATGTTGAACTGACAATTTCTCTTTCTCTTTTTCAATTTCTCTTTTCTCCCTTTGCTAAAATGAAGGCATTGCAATGACCTTTGGCTGACTTGGCTTCTTTCTTACTAGCTAAGCACGAACTCCTCCTGACACTCCAATCTAAGTGTTCTTGCCTGCTCATTAACTCACTATCTTCAATATTCTCTTTATCAGTTTGGTCCAGCTGGACCAAATCACCATGGGAAGGCTGAGCAGGCAAAGACAACTCCACCTGGCATTTATCTAGCTCACTGGCATTCTTTCCCTTGAGAACTAACTTGTTGTCTCTCCTACTGCACTGTCTGAGACAGGCACAGAAACAGGACCAGAAATCTGTATCCCATCATCCTCTTCATCAGGGAACAATTCTGGCTCACAAGACCCACAGGGTTCAGTTTCAGACTCAGAATCAAACTGAGCCACAACTTTCACAAATTTACTTTCAAAGTAAATACTGCACAAATGAACAGAAAATAACACTTTCAAATCTTTACACTGAGCTTCACCTTGAGTCTGAAAGGCATTGAAAGACACACAACAACAACAACAACAACAACAACAATCCTAATTAACATGGCCCTCTCATTACCCAAAAGCATGTCCACACTTCCAATTGAAATACGGCTTAGTTTATATTGGTTAATATTGTTTTTCATTTTAATCTACAAATAAAGTATGTACAGTTTGCAGAGGAATTGTTAGGGATTCCGTATCTTCGGAGGAGGAAAGGGAGCAGGGAAGTGCTCAGGAATTGGAGGGAGAAGACGAATCAGACGATGAGAGTTTGAACGGGCCTACCTTTCTAGAGAGACGAAAAGAGACAGAACACAGACGGCGGTCAGCTAGGATAGCTGCTAAAAACGCTAAGCTAATCGGGAGACACCCTAGAACCTCCTGTGTGGGGAATTCAGGGCTATAAATCAGTAGTAGAAGCAGTCAGCTTTTACTGGTAACAATGACCCTGATACTGCTGTTTTCACTCCAACTGAATCTGTTTTGTGTCTGCTGCTAAGGACTCAGTTCATCGGCTGTTGTCTGATGGAAGACTGATGTTTCTTTTGGGATCTTGTAAGAGACTTTAATTTGTGTCTGGATGAAGACTTCTTTGCTTTCTTTTGCACTTTTCAGTTGCATTTGCTTATCCTTTGTGTTTGCTGAAGTAAAGCATTTTTCTTTTACTTTCAATATTGTCTAAAGCAGTGGTTCTCAACCTATGGGTCCCCAGGTGTTTTGACCTTCAACTTCCAGAAATCCCAACCAATTTACCAGCTGTTAGGATTTCTGGGAGTTGAAAGCCAAAACATCTGGGGACCCACAGGTTGAGAACCTCTGGTCTAAAGGCTGTTTTTGAAGGGCAATTTAGGACAGGAATATGTTTGCGTTTGTTTCAAACCGCTGAGCTGCTGAACTTGCTGACCAAAAGGTCGCTGGTTCAAACCCAGGGAGCAGGGTGAGCTCCTGCTGTTAGCCCCAGCTTCTGTCAACCTAGCAGTTCGAAAACATGCAAACATGAATAGATCAATAGGTACTGCTCCAGAGGGAAGGTTATTGCGCTCCATGCAGTCATGCCAGCCACATGGCCTTGGAGGTGTCTATTGACAATGCCGGCTCTTCAGCTTAGACATGGAGATGAGCACCAACCCCTAGAGTCAGACACAACTAGACTCAAAGTCAAGGGAAAACCTTTACCTTTATAGTCCAGACTGAACCTTGGCTTAAAAGATTTGATATCCGTGCTGCTGCTGTTGTGTGCCTTCAAGCCATTTCCTGCTTGTGTTGACTGCCCTAAGGCAAACCTATGACGGGGTTCCTTGGCAAGATCTATTCAAAGGGATTTGCCTTGGCCTTTCTTTGAGAAAGTGTGCAATGCACACCTTTTAGGTCCAAATTATAAAGAGTGTGCTTTTTGCTGTTTCACATTACATTCAGCAGCATTTTTTTTTATGGTTTCAGGGTTTGGAAAATGGAGGTATGCAATAGATTCAATGATGGGTAATACATGTATTGTATATACTGTATATACTCGTGTATAAACCTAGTTTTTCAGCCCTTTTTTAGGCTGAAAAAGTCCCCCTCGGCTTATACTTGAGTCAAGGTTATTTATTATTTTTTTCTGTTATTATTTTTATTACATTTATAATTTTACTCTATTATTATTATTATTATTATTATTATTATTACATTTATTGTTTTACTCTATTTATTATTGTTATTATATGTATTATTTTACGATATTATTACTGGTGTTATTACATTTCCATTATTATATTATTATTATTATTATTATTATTATTATTATTACATTTATTATGTTATCCATTATTATTATTATTACATTTATTGTTTTACTCTATTTATTATTGTTATTATATGTATTATTTTACGATATTAGTACTGGTATTATTACATTTCCATTATTATTATTATATTATTATTATTATTATTACATTTATTATTTTACTCTCTTTATTATTGTTATTATATGTATTATTTTATGATATTATTACTGGTATTATTACATTTCCATTATTATTATTTTATTATTATTATTATTATTACATTTATTATTTTATCCATTATTATTATTATTATTACATTTATTGTTTTACTCTACTTATTATTGTTATTATATGTATGATTTTATGATATTATTACTGGTATTATTAAATTTCCATTATTATAATTATTATATTATTATTATTATTACATCATTTTACTCTATTATTATTGGAAGGATACGTAAACACATTTACATTGAAGAAGGTTAGAATAATGGTTTAATCAGAGTTGGGCAGTCTTATCTTAAATTACAGTTTTATGTAAATATTTAATCTATTGATACCTCAATTAATGTAATTTTATTGGTATCTATTTTTATTTTGAAATTTACCAGTAGATGCTGCATTTCCCATCCTCGGCTTATACGCAAGTCAATACGTTTTCCCAGTTTTTTTGTGATAAAATTAGGTGCCTCGGCTTATATTCGGGTCGGCTTATACTCGAGTATATACGGTAATGCATATTGTTGGGAGGTCTGATTTCTCGACAACCCTTGCAGCTCCACCTGGGCAGTGGTCAAAACCATCCTCCGCTCCGAGGGCCCCCTGGGCTTCTTCCAGGGCCTGACCAGCACTTGGCTGCGGGAGGTGCCCGGCTACTTCTTCTTCTTTGGTGGCTACGAGGTCAGCCGCAGCCTCTTCCTCCAGGCTGGACAGTCCAAGCAGGAGCTGGGTAAGATGCCCTTGCCTTTGGTACCTAATCCTATAGAAGTATGTTTTGTTACTATAGCCTGCAGACAGGTCTATGTGTCCCTCTTTGGACTTGGCTCTCCATTCATGCTCAGTAAGGGATTTTGGACTCAGCTGCTGTTTAACTGGCGGGATCGGTGAGAGCACTGCTTCTTAAACTGTGGGTCCTAGCCCTAAATGGGGTGCCCTTGGCTCAATGTTGGGGTCCTGGAAAATTTGGCCACAGTGAAAGCTTTCTAAACATCTTACTTTACTTACTTAGGCAATTCCTCGTAGCCTGAGGATGATGGTCCTCCAAATGTAGTGTCTTGGTGGTGGGTCCGTAGTAGGGCTGTCCAAACACGGAAAAAATTGTTTCTAAACTCGATTCGTTTTTAGGGGTTTTTTGCGTTTCGTTATTTAAAAGAATTCCGAAATTTTCCTTTAAAAAAAGTTCGATATTTACGAAATTTCGGAAATCATAAAACAATTACGAAACAATTACGAATCGATTACGAATCGATTCGTTAATGGCGGCCGCGATCGCGCAATACGCTAAAAAAACTTCTGAAGCTTCCCTCTCCCTCTGTTGTTGACTGTTGGTGTGATAATTATATTTTTTTTCACTGAGAAAACAAACAGCAACCCTAAAACTTTCACCAGACATGCGGAAATAATAACGAAACATTTACGAATCAATAACGAATCAATTCCGAAACAATTCCGAAACAATTACGAAACGAATTGGAAAAATTCGTTTCGTTTTTTAGTTTCTCCTGAATGGTTCAATATCGCTTCGTTATAAAAAAACAAAAAACGAATTTTTAACAAATTACGAAATTACGAAACGAAACCGCCCAGCCCTAGTCCGTAGGTGACTGTGGAGCTCTCTTCTTGATCCGCATGTTTTCCCAGTGGGGACATCGGTTTCCAGGTGGAAGGCGGTCCTGGTCAAGGTTGGCTTCATACGCCTTCCTCTTGACACATTTGTATCTTTCACCCTCCATTCATGCCTCTTCAAATTCTGCAGCACTGCTGGTCTCAGCTGACCTCCAGTTAGAGCGTTCAAAGGCCAGGACTTCCCAGTTCTCGGTGTCTATGCCACAGTTTTTAAGGTTGGCTTTAAGCCCATCCTTAAATCTATTTTCCTATCAATCAGCATTATGCTTCCCATTCGAGTTGGGAATATAGTAACTGCTTTGGGAGATGCTGATCAGTAGTATGATAGCTACTATAATACTAGCTATAATATACGAGGGTTGAATTAAAAGTCATGCCTCCACCTTTGTAACTCCTCAACAGATGGCAGTTCCGATATGCAGCAGGTACTGGCTTCTTCAGTAGACTCTCCTCTACAGTTCCATTTTGGTGGGAAGCCTTAACATTGAACGGTTGTGTTGTTAAAGTACGAAGTATGGAACCCTGCGCAGATGGTTGGTCAATGCAACTTAAGCAATGTGCAGTCATTGAATTCTTGACAGCAGAAAGTGTCACCCCAAAGGAGATTCATCAGAGAATGCAATTTGTTTATGGTGATTGTGTTGATGTGAGTACTGTGCGTTGTTGGGCGAGTAAGTTAAAGATGTTGAGATGACACCTTCTGCTGTCAAGAATTCAATGACTGCATGTTGTTTAAGTCACATTGACTGATCGTCTGTGTAGGGTTCCATACTTTGCACTTTATTGTAATTTTATACTGTTATGTTTTCACATATTTTATGTAATTATGATGTTATTGTTTACTGTCTGCTTTTTCGGGTTGCGTTTTCGGTTTTATGCTGCTGTAATTTGTGTTTGGGCTTGGCCTCATGTAAGCTGCACCGACTCCCCATTGGAGAGATGGTGGCGGGGTATAAATAAAGATTATTATTATTATTATTATTATTATTATTATTTAACAACACAACCGTTCAATGCTAAGGCTTCCTGCCAAAATGGAACTGTAGAGGAGAGTCTACTGAACAAGCCAGTATCTGCCTCATACCAGTACTGCCATTTGTTGAGTTACGAAGGTAGAGGCATTACTTTTTATTCAACCCCCGTAGTATACTATATAGTATAATATATATTGGTAGTATAATAGCTTGTAGCTATTATAGACATTTGCACCAATCTGCTGTGCTGCATTTACAGTGGACTCTTCAGCTGTAAAAATCAGCCTCTTTAGCAAGCCTTGCAAATGCTGAATTGTTATCAGCAAATGTTATAATTTTTTGCACTTATTTTATATACCTATATACCCGTCACATAAAAATGTCTTGTCCAAAAAGGGTCACAAATGGAAAGGAAATGCTTTTAATGTAAACCACTTCAAGTCTCTTTTGGGGAGATAAAATGTGGAGTAATAACAACAACACTATGTGACAAAATTTGAAAAAAAATCTGTTCCTGGTTTGAAAGTATTATTTCCTCTTTAATTGTGCAGTGTGTACTTTGAAAGTAGTTGTTCTACTCCAGAAACTTCATTTTTGTGGCTGCCACAAACTCGGTTGAATTGGTAGAGACTCGATGAGATATTCATTGAAAAACTAGACCAAAACGTGCTGCAAAAAATGAAGTTTTTGCAGTTTAATAAACTTTCCCCACGTTTTTATGATGGAGCCAATTAGGAAATTGCACTTATAACTCAGGAACAAACATTGTGTTAGATATTGCAATATGATCATTACTCTTTCACGAGGGGATCTCCCTTCCGGGAGGAAGATTTAACTCACTTCCTGTTGTCTCAGCCCTGTTCGTAACTGTGAGTTGTTTGTAAGTCAGATGTTTGTAACTTGAAGGCTGCCTGTAGTTTGACAAGGTGAAAGAGTGTAAACTACAACTCCCAGGATCCATGTCACTAAAGTGGTACCAAGATACACCCATGTTGAGCCATGTCACTAAAGTGGTACCAAGATACACCCCAGGAGCCTGAATGCAAAGCCATGTGTGATACCTGCATGTGTCATGAGACCAGTTTGGGAGCTCTCCTTGGAGATCATTGTGTGCCTTTCTTTGCATCATTGACTAGACTGTGTTCTCCTTGCAGGCGCCCTCCCCGTCACTGTGAGTGGAGGGGTCGGAGGGGCCGCTTTCTGGCTGGCTGTCTACCCCATTGACTCTGTGAAGTCGCGCATCCAGGTGCTGTCCATGGCCGGGCGGCAGGATGGCTTCCTCCTCTCCTTCCTGCACATCCTGCGGACAGAAGGTGGGCCCTCCTTGTCGAAAGACCCCTTCCAAGGCTGCCAATTGCATGTAGAGCTGGCAGGGGGGGCAGAGGCAACTCCCAGCATCCCCTAACGGAGTGTATCTCAACCAGGGGTGGGGGTTGTGTGGGGGTTTCAGAGGCGTTGCCAATGACCATCAGAAAACATATATTTCTGATGGTCTTAGGAACCCCTTTGGCAGAGGAGGCTGGAGATCTCTCTGCCTGTCCTTCTCTTCCTTTTTGGAAACAGAAGACAAATCCTCTCAACAAAATCTCTCCTCCGTTGTGATTGATTGGCCTCTCAGCCAAGGGGAGGGCTGTTTCTGAGACTCCAAGTGGGGAGGGGGGAGCAGGTGTGCTCAGCGCATGGCAGGATGGTGCACATGCACAGGTGAGGGAGAGCATGCGAAGCTGGAGGGAGGATCACACCAGCAAGTTCCTTCAAAGCATCGGGGTTCTGTGTGGAAACTTTGGTCCAATTCTACATTGGTGGGGTTCAGAATTCTCTTTGATTGTAGGTGAACTATAAATCCCAGCAACTACAACTCCCAAGTTTGGTCCAGATCTATCATTGTTTGAGTCCACAATCTTCTCTGGATGTAGATGAACTGCAACTCCAAAACTCAAGGTCAATGCCCACCAAACCCAGTATTTTCTGTTGGTCATAGGAGTTCTGTGTGCCAAGTTTGGTTCAATTCCATTATTGGTGGAGTTCAGAATGCTCTTTGATTGTAGGTGAACTATAAATCCCAGCAACTAGAACTCCCAAATGATAAACTAAATCCCCACAACCCCCACCAGTATTCAAATTTGGGCATATCACGTATTTGTGCCATATTTGGTCCAGATCTATCATTGTTTGAATGTACAGTGCTCTCTGGATGTAGGTGAACTACAACTCCAAAACTCAAGGTTAATACCCACCAAACCCAGTATTTTCTCTTGGTCGTGGGAGTTCTGTGTACCAAGTTTGGTTCAATTCTATTGCTGGTGGAGTTCAGAATACTCTTTGATTGTAGGTGAACTATACATCCCATCAACTACAACTCCCAAATGATAAAATCAACCCCCCCCAACCCCCTCCAGTATTCAAATTTGGGCATATCACGTATTTGTGCCAGATTTGGTCCAGTGAACGACAATGTCTCCTGCATATAAGATATTTACATTACGATTCATAACAGCAGCAAAATTAATTATGAAGTAGCAATGAAAATAATGTTATGGTTGGGGGTCACCACAACACGAGGAACTGTATTAAGGGGTCATGGCATTAGGAAGGTTGAGAAACACTGTAAACAAGGTGCATCATGTTGGCTGGGGAATTGTGGCAGCCATCATCATGCAAAAGCAATGCTTCCAAGTGATAGTTGTAATAGATATCATCATCCTATTTTATTATAAGACTTAGGATTTATATTGCTACCTGCAATTGGTTACGGCTTTAAAAATTCTTCATGCAACAGCAATGCTTCCAAGTAATAGTTATAATAAATATTATCATCATCCTCCTATTTTATTACAAGATTTAGGATTTATATGGTTACCTGCAGTTAGTCCTGTCTTTTAAAAAGCAATGTCCAGATTCTAGCCAAATACACTGCAAAGTAAACAAGGAGCAGAGTTATTTATTGTGCATTAAACGATAATAAGTCCTTGTTACAATTGTATTTCCAGTGGCATTTGAACTCACTTTTTCAGTTAGATGGATACAAAGTTTTGGAAAAGTCCATTTTCTTAGTGCAACAACCAATTGCTGACAAATGGGAGCCCACCCCACTCCCCGGATTTGAACTGCTGACCTTTTCGGTCAGCAGTTCTGCCGGCACAAGGGTTTAACTGCCACAACTCCATTCTGTGGAGTCGTGGGATTTGTAGTTCTGTGAGACATCAGCCCTCTTGGGCAGAGAGAAGGCTAAATACCTTGTAAAACTACCACTCCCATGATTCCATAGCATTGAGCCCTGGCAGTTGAGGAGGCATCAAACTGCATTAATTCTACAGTGTGGATGCACTTGTAGAGAGTTATACTGCTGTCGTTCAAAGGCTATAGCTTTCCAGTGATGGATTTCACAAAACTTACTATTAGACATGTAATTCAGTTTGCTCAGAAAACTGTGTATCCCAAAATTACATAGAAGAGAACTATGGCAGTTCAAGTGACTTCGAAACATTCACACCCACGGATTCTACATCCATTGAGTCAACTTTCCATGGTTTGAAAACATGTCATTTTAACAACAACAACAACAACAACATGTGACCTGTCTACTCGATTGACTATAATGGGAGCTTTCATGCCACGAATCCAGCTTTTAGTCATAACTGATCTAATTTGAAGATGCTCTCCATGGTGCCCAACTCACCTTGAAGAGCACCTTTCACAGTTCGGACTAAAATCCATAGATTTTGATATCCAAGGGGGTCCTGGATCTAAAACCCAATGGATAACAAGAGCTGCTATAACTGTATAATATGATAGCGCCACAATGGGAGACCAAAATCTCCTTCCTTCCTTCCTCATCCTCCTTGTGTTCTTCCTCTTTCAGGTTTCATGCCGCTCTACTGTGGACTGATGCCCACAGTCATCCGGGCCTTGCCCTCCAACGGAGCCCTCTTCCTGGCCTACGAAGTGACCCACAAAAAGTTGACCGGCCTGGCAGAGCGGGCCACTTGAGACCCATGGAAAGGAGGGACTTGGGCCATGATGGAAAGGCCGAAAGAGACTTCCCTTCGAGTGGCTTCAGCGTTGGAACAAACCTCATTTGGACTCAATGGCTGAGGGACTTTGGAGGACCGAAAGAGAGCCATGGGCTTTTGGGGTGTCCCTTGTGGGTCACTCTTCCTCCACCGATGGAAGCCTCCATGCCATGAATCCAGCTTTTAGTCAGAACCGATCTAATCTGAAGATGCTCTCCATGGTGCCTGACTCACCTTGAAGAGCACCTTTCAAAGGGTTGTTGTAGGTTTTTTCGGGCTATATGGCCATGTTCTAGAGGCATTCTCTCCTGACGTTTTGCCTGCATCTATGGCAAGCATCCTCAGAGTTACTGAGGATGCTTGCCATAGATGCAGGCGAAATGTTAGGAGAGAATGCCTCTATACCGTGGCCATACAGCCCGAAAAAACCTACAACAACCCAGTGATTCCGGCCATGAAAACCTTCGACAATACAGTTTATACACAGTATATAAAAGATACAAGTTATACAAAAGCATCAAATACCATCTCACTACATGGGAGCCTCTGGTTGTCACTCCATCTTGTGTGAGATATTATGAAAGATATCAACACAAGCAAACTACTGAACTTTAAAAAAAAAGCAATGTATCAAATGTCTGCTTTTTCTAGGCATTTGCCTTCATCCCTCAAGGGTTGCTTCATTCTCATTTGTTTTTTGGGCAGTTTTGGGGATATCTCCATTTGTGTGTGATCTTGGAAAACTCAGGAATAAATGGAATTTGCAAAACCCTTCGTATTCATTCTGTACAGGATAGGTTTTGAATTAGAGCTCTGCCTACTTAGTGTTAACTTCAATCAGAGCTCCATATAGTTGGTCATAGTTAGTGTTGACTCTTGAATAGCCAAAAGTTGGACTTCTTCTTGTTGGTGTTGTTGTGCATCTTCAAACATTAATGTTGGCCCTTATCAAGGGATTTTCTGGGGATAAGGGCATGTGATTCACCCAAAGTGAGTTTCTATGGCTGAGCAGCGATTCAAACCGAGGGCTTTAATAATAATAATAATAATAATAATAATACTTTATTTGTACCCCACTACCATCTCCCCAAGGGACTCGGTGCGGCTTACATGAGGCCGAGCTCACAATACAACAATAAACAATAACAACAATAATACAAAACAATAAATAAACTCATAAGCAAAAAATAAGCAATAAACATTAACAATAACACGACGCGTTTAAAAACCTATGGCTGGGCCAAATGTAATAATTAATTTTTAAAAAAAATAATGCTGGGCATGATAAGGTGACATGGAACTGAGGTAGAAGTTTTTGGAGAGGGATGAGTGTGCAGACAATCTTAGATCACTAATAAAGAGCGTTTGGGGACATATTGCTGGGAGTTTCCTTATTCTGGGAAGGCACACTGAAACAGCCACGTTTTCAGGCTCCTCCTAAAGACTGCCAGAGTTGGGGCTTGTCTAATATCCCTGGGGAGTGAGTTCCAGAGTCGAGGGGCCACCACCGAGAAGGCCCTCTCCCTCGTTCCCCACCAATCGCGCTAGCAATGGTGGTGGGAGCGTGAGCAGGGCCTCTCCAGATGATCGAAGAGATTGTGTGGGTTCGTACACAGAGATGTGGTCATGCAGGTAGGCGGGTCCCAAACCGTTTAGGGCTTTGTAGGTAAGCACCTGCACCTTGAATTGGGACCGGTAAATTAATGGCAGCCAGTGGAGCTCCTTGAACAGAAGGGTTGACTGCTCCCTGTAAGGATCTCCAGTTAACAACCTGGCCGCCGCTCATTGAACCAGTTGAAATTTCCGGGCCGTTTTCAAGGGTAGCCCCACATAGAGTGCATTACAGTAGTCCAATCTGGAGGTGACTAAGGCATGGACCACCCTGGCCAGATCCGCCTTCACGAGGTACGGTCGCAGTTGGCGTACGAGTCTTAATTGTGCAAAGGCCCTCCTGGCCACCGCCAACGCCTGAGCTTCAAGCAACAGTGATGAGTCCAGGAGGACACCCAGACTGCGGACCTGTGACTTCAGGGGGAGTGTAACCCCGTCCAACACAATTATTTAAAGTTGTTGAGTGCATCTACATTGTAGGATGGATGCAGTTTAATGCCAGGTCAACTGCCATAGCTCAAGTCTGCAGAATACTGAAAGCTATAGTTGTCGTACACCAGAGGAGGATCCCCTTGTTGACCGTAAACACCACACCAGCTTGGTAAAATCAGCAAACAGTTTATTGAAGAATATAAGTAGGCAAAGCAGTAAAATTAGCAAAAACAGTAAAGGTTCAATATATAAAATAGTCCATAAGCTTCAAAGGAAAACCAGATCCGTGAGTACATAAAAATTCATGGAACTAGGCACTTAAATCCATGAAACAAAACAGCAGGAAAATCTCATAGACAAATCTTAAGCTCGGCAAAAACTTGGTACATGAAACTAAGAGCACTTGAAAGCAAGACCGTGATAAAATAACAGCGTTGACCCACTGAGGCAACTCTCTCCCAGGAATCATTATAAAGCTTTTTCAGGTTTTGTTCATTTTTATTCGCTCAAATACAAATCGAGGAACATGAAAGGCACTACAGACTAATCCAACCTGAGAAGTCAGCCATACAGAGCACCTGATGAACCAACCTGGAGATAGCATATTATTTGAGAACGTAGAAATGCTGGAACTCTCTAACAACCACTGCGTCAAACTAGGCAGAAAAGCCACTGAAATCCACAAGAAGCATGTGGACAATTTCAACAGAAAGGAGGAAACCATGAAAATGAACAAAATCTGCTACCAGTATTTAAAAAAACTCTAAAATCAGGACAGCAAATAAAGAACAATACTCAGAAAACCGGATTTCCAGACAGGAAATAATTAAGGCCAGGTAACACCTCCCAACAAAGAATTCCCCCAGGCAGGAAGCAGCAAGGTTTTGAAGCTGCAAGGCCATTAAATGCTAATCAAGGTGGCCAATTGCAACATTCACACTTGCCTCAAGCAGACAAGAGTTCTTTCTCCCACCCTGAACATTATTCCACAGATATATAAACCTCACTTGCCTAGTTTGGAGCCCCCATTGGCGCAGTGGGTTAAACCCCTGTGCCGGCAGGACTGAAGACCGACAGGTCACAGGTTCGAATCCGGGGAGAGTGCAGATGAGCTCCCTCTATCAGTTCCAGCTGCTCATGCGGGGACATGAGAGAAGCCTCCCACAAGGATGGTAACACATCAAAACATCCGGGCATCCCCTGGGCAACGTCCTTGCAGACGGCCAATTCTCTCACACCAGAATTTTATTTTTTGGTTGTGTCAGGAGCGACTTGAGAAACTGCAAGTCGTTTCTGGTGTGAGAGAATTGGCTGTCTGCAAGGACGTTGCCCAGGGGACGCCTGGATGAATTGATGTTTTTATCATCCTTGTGGGAGGCTTCTCTCATGTCCCCGCATGAGGAGCTGGAGCTGATAGAGGGAGCTCATCCGCCTCTCCCCGGTCGTCCACACAGAGAAGCCTTTCATGCAGGACATAATACCAAGAGCTCCTGTAGAAAGCTTCGTCTTCTATGGCTTGGCCGGGGAGATATACAGCCCACAGCTTGGCCGGGGTTATACAGCCCTACAGTTCCTTTGCTGAAGGACTTCAGTCAGCCATCACGGAAACCTGAATTCTTTTTCCCTGGAAGTCTACAAAGCTCTGCTTGGTAAGGGTCACTCGCGGAAGCCAGAAGCAGTTGGTACCGGGTGCAGGGGCTCCACGCCAACAGAGGCAAAGACAGACTGCCCAGATTAGAAGTTAAGGATTTCCCTATTAGCTAAAATACAGTTTATGAAGATAGTGCCTGTTCCCTGTGGACAAGATTGAGAGAGAGCCAATAGACTGTTAAGAAAGCTTTAAAGTACCTGTTTGTTTTCATCAATAAAGAACATTGTTGAACCTTTAAGCAATCTAAAGACTCTGTTTTAAGGAAATCCAAGGGCCTTTAATCTGAGGCAGCCCCGGCATCCCGTTGGGCACACAGAATTTATGTCCTGTCTACAGTCTGATGCACAGGCCCAGCGTGCGACAGCACACCTCGGAGGCTCAAGTCAAGATGAACCAGCTCTGCGCCTGTTGACGCAGGCTGCCACCCTCTATATCAGCATTTCTCAACCTGGGGGTCGGGACCCCTGGAGGGATCGCGAGGGGGTGTCAGAGGGGTCACCAAAGGTCATCAGAAAATACAGTATTTTCTGTTGGTCATAGGGGTTCTTTGTGGGAAGTTTGGCCCAATTCTATTAGGGTACAGAATGCTCTTTGTTTGTAGGTGAACTGTAAATCCCAGCAACTACAACTCCCAAATGTCAGGGTCTGGTTCCCTAAAATTCCACCAGTGTTCACATTTGGGCATATTGAGTATTTGTGCAAAGTTTGGTCCAGAGCCATCATTGTTTCAGTTCACTGTGCTCTCTGGATGTAGGTGAACTACAACTCCAAAACTCAAGGTCACTGCCCACCAAACACTTCCAATATTTTCTGTTGGTCATGGGAGTTCTGTGTGCCAAGTTTGATTCAATCCCTCATTGGTGGAGTTCAGAATGCTCTTTGATTGTAGGTGAACTATAAATCCCAGCAACAACAACTCCCAAATGACAAAATTAAGCCCCCTCCCCCCGCAAACCCATCAGTATTCAAATTTGGACATATTGGGTATTTGTGCCAAATTTGGTCAATTGAATGGAAATATGGCCTGCATATCAGATATTTATATTATGATTCATAACATTAGCAGAATTACAGTTATGAAGTAGCAACAAAAATAATGTTATGGTTGGGGGTCACCACAACATGAGGAACTCTATTAAGGGGTCGTGGTATTGGGAAGGTTGGGAAACCCTGCTCTATAGGATGCATCCACTCCCCACAGAGCCTGCTGCAGCTGACGCTGGAGGCCAGGTGGCCACATGCCCATCTTTGGACCCGGCTCCGGTTGCAAGGCCTCCCTCCCCTTGCTAAAGATAGCCCAGCCTCGCTCTGTTGCAAAAGGAGAAAAGTCTCTCAGAGCCCCATTTGCCCAGATCCAGAGCCTTCGACCCAGAGAGCCATGGCCTTGCTGTGCTACAACCGGGGATGCGGGCAACAGTTTGACCCCGAAGACAACGGCCCAGGTATGTTGAGGGGGTTCCTCTCTGAACCCCCATAGACCCCACAGTGTAGTTGCAAACATATGGGTCCTATGGCCTTCCTTTTTACCTTTCGGTGATGTTACAGCTTCAGTAGAGATGGTAATAATAATAATAATAATAATAATAATAATAATAATAATAATAATAATGGGTTGTTGTAGGTTTTTCCGGGCTATATGGCCATGTTCTGGAGGCAATTTTTCTCCTGACATTTCGCCTGCATCTATGGCAAGCATCCTCAGAGGTAGTGAGGTCTGTTGGAAGTAGGAAAAATGGGTTTATATATCTGTGGAATGACCAGGGTGAGACAAAGGACTTTTGTCTGCTGGGGCTAGCTGTGAATGTTTCAGCTGATCACCTTGATTAGCATTCAATGGCTTGGAAGGGCCTGGGGGGAATCTTTTGTTGAGAGTGATTTTATGTGCCTGTTTGTTTCCCCTAGTTCCAACAGACCTCACTACCTCTGAGGATGCTTGCCATAGATGTGGGTGAAACGTCAGGAGAGAATGCCTCTAGACCATGGCCATATAGCCTGAAAAAACCTACAACAACCCAGTGATCCTGGCCATGAAAGCCTTTGACAATACAAAGATTTCTTTTCTCCTGTATAAATATATGCATAATAACTGCGTAAATATATATAGAATCTATCTATATATAAATGCTCTGTGCATAATGAGTACCTTAAAAACAAAAGAACCAATGAACGAAATCACACCAAATTTGGCAACAAAACATCTCACAACACAAGGAGTGACCATCACTCAAAAAATTATGATTTTGTCATTTGGGAGTTGTAGTTGCTGGGATTTATAGTTCACCTACAATCAAAGAGCATTCTGAACTCCACCAACGATGGAATTGAACCAACTTGGCACACAGAACTCCCATGACCAACAGAAAATACTGGAAGGGTTTGGTGGGCATTGACCTTGAGTTTGGGAGTTGTAGTTCACCTACATCCAGAGAGCACTGTGGACTCAAACATGATGGATCTGGACCAAACTTGGCACAAGCACTCAATACACCCAAATATGAACACAGATGGAGTTGGGGGAGGGGGGGATAGACCTTGACAATTGGGAGTTGTAGTCACTGGGATTTATAGTTCACCTACAATCAAAGAGCATTCTGAACCCACGAATGACAGAATTGGGCCAAACTTCCCACAAAGAACCCCCATGACCAACAGAAAATACTTAAGGCCATCCAGTCCAACTCCCTTCACCAGGGCAAGAAAACATACTCAAAGTCCTCCTGACAAAGAGCCATCCAGCCATAGAGATAGATAGATAGATAGATAGATAGATAGATAGATAGATAGATAGATAGATGATAGATATGATTCACACACACACAGATATGGTATCATAGATTTGAAAGGAACCCTTAAAGAAGGACAATGATATGTTGCATGTTCCAGGATGAGCAAACTAGACACTCCACATCAACACTGACAAAGAAACAGCAAGAAATACTGTTTACCCACAAGCATCAAGACATTACATATATTAGAAACCAACACTTCCTCATTATTTCCCAGATCACCAGACTGGGCCACAGCAACGCATGGCAGGGGATGTCTAGTATAATGATAAAAATCAAGCCGGAAAGAGTTACAGAGAATGAACACGCCAAACTCCTCTGGGACTTCTGGATTCAGACAGACAGAGTTTTGGAGCATAATACTCCTGAATTGTGTTAAAAAACAAAGTATGGATCATCGATGTCACAATCCCAGGTGACCACAGGATTGCAGAGAAACAACTGGAAAAACTGACACGATATTTGGATTTAAAGATCGAACTGCCAAGATTGAATTGGCCATCTGTCAAGAGGGCTTTGACTTTAAAGATCAAACTGGCCATCTGTCAAGAGGGCTTTGACTGTGCCTTCCTTTATGACAGACGGGGGTTGGCCATCTTACTGGGATATGAACACGTTATTCGCCGATACATAACACAGTCCTAGACACTTGGGAAGTGTTTGACGTGCGATCCAGCCAGCTGAGTGTCTGCTGTGGATTCATCTTGTTGTGTTTCTAATAATAATAATAATAATAATAATAATAATAATCATAGAATCAAAGAGTTGGAAGAGACCTCATGGGCCATCCAGTCCAACCCCCTGCCAAGAAGGAGGAATATTGCATTCAAATCACCCCTGACAGATGGCCATCCAGCCTCTGTTTAAAAGCTTCCAAAGAAGGAGCCTCCACCACACTCCGGGCAGAGAGTTCCACTGCTGAACGGCTCTCACAGTCAGGAAGTTCTTCCTCATGTTCAGATGGAATCTCCTCTCTTGCAGTTTGAAGCCATTGTTCCATTGTGTCCTAGTCTCCAGGGCAGCAGAAAACAAGCTTGCTCCCTCCTCCCTGTGACTTCCTCTCACATATTTATACATGGCTATCATGTCTCCTCTCAGCCTTCTCTTCTTCAGGCTAAACATGCCCAGCTCTTTAAGCCACTCCTCATAGGGCTTGCTCTCCAGACCTTGATCATTTTAGTCACCCTCCTCTGGACACATTCCAGCTTGTCAATATCTCTCTTGAATTGTGGTGCCTAGAATTGGATACAATATTCCAAGTGTGGTCTAACAAAAGCGGAATAGAGGGGTAGCATTACTTCCCTAGATCTAGACACTATACTCCTATTGATGCAGGCCAAAATCCCATTGGCTTTTTTTGCCGCCACATGACATTGTTGGCTCATGTTTAACTTGTTGTCCACGATGATTCCAAGATCTTTTTCACACGTACTGCTCTCGAGCCAGGCATTGTCCCCCATTCTGTATCTTTGCATTTCGTTTTTTCTGCCTAAGTGGAGTATCTTGCATTTGTAAACAAACTTTATGTAAACTTTTTCCCTGAGGGGACTCAGTCCGAAAGGACTTGAAAACACAACAACAACAACAACAACAACAACAACAACAACAACAACCACCTATAGTTAGGGCCCCCAACAGTCTTTGGGGCCCTGAACCGGCTCTCTGTTTAGAAAGTTTGAGGACCCCTGCTTTAGATCAATAAAAAAAAATGCATGTAGACACAATTGTTTTGCATTTTAGCACATTGGTTATCTCATGTTGTTCTGTTGCACGCTGGGCCTGTAAAGAATTTCCTTTAGAACAGGACGTGCAACTTTTGCCCAGTGGGAAGCCAGGGGGCCCAAGGAGAAGTTCTCAGAGGTTTCCACCACAAATGATCTTTAGATGGTTTGTGAAGTATAACAAAGTCTTTTATTAAAGAACAATCAAACAGAAACTTCTCTTGTCTTCAGTAAAGATAAACAAATGATTCCAAGCTTTTAGGCAACTGGTGAATTCCTAATCTTGCCCACAAAGGACAGGCAACTGTCTTCAATAACTTCTTCTTTACTTTAAATGGAAAACCCCCTTTTTAACTTCTCCCAGGCTGACTGTAATCTAACCCTTACTGATGTGGGCTCTGCTACCGGGTTGAACTGCTTCTCGAACGCCGAGTGGACCTACCAGTAAAGGCTTAGATGTTCTCCAGCTGGAGTTCTTTGGTCTTTAGGGCTGTTTTCCTGCGGAAAGTCTTGGATGCTCTTAAAACTGTTTCCCCCCAGAAATCCTTAAAGGTTGAAGCTTTTGTACAGGGGAAGCTTGCACACATCCTATACATAAGTTAACCTTGCTGAGACTAACTAAAAAATGGCTCCCTTCCCTTCCCAATTGCCCTGAGCAAGGGACGGAACCAAACTTAACGATGATGGACAGGTGACTTGCCCTATGACTGCAACCAAAAGAAACCACCTATCTGCAGAGTCCCAGAAACCTAGGACTGCAATCAAACATTTAATGTAGAGCAAATAAAGTTGGAGCTCCTGGTACAACTCTACCAGAACACATTTGTGGGAGGAGGAATGAAAATAAAAGAAAACACTTGGATGGGGGGGGGGGAATCCTGGACATTCAGAGGATCAATACCAAACTGATTGGAACGGGAATGAATTGGGTCTTTTGGGAGGACTAGCCTTGGAGGAAGGCATTGGGAAGGCTGGACTGGGTATGAGGAAAAGTGTTTCTTGTCTCAACAAAAGGCGTCCTTTACCTCTGGCATCTCTCTCTCTCTCTCTTGCTTTCCCTCAGATTCCTGCCTCCATCATCCTGGATTCCCCATCTTCCATGATGCTTTAAAGGTGAGACGTCTTGGGCAGGGGGAACCAAGAGCACTGGGGAAATATCCTATTTACTTGAGAATTGTGCTCACCTTTTTTGGCTAAATTACCTTGCCAAAATTGGGGTGTGCATCGAATTCACATAATATTGTTATTTTAGTGCTGAACCAAAACAAAAAAGGAAAGCTGCACCCAGAAATCCTCTTTGAGGGACATTATCTCTAATTTAATGGCTATGGCTCAATGCTATGTGATCCCAGGATTTGTAGTTTGAGAAGACATCAGCATCCTTTGGCAGAGAAGGCTCAAGACTTTAGAATCATGGAATCATAGAGTTGGAAGAGACCTCATGGGCCATCCAGTCCAACCCCATTCTGCCAAGAAGCAGGAAAATTGCATTCAAAGCAGCCCTGACAGATGGCCATCCAGCCTCTCTTTAAAAGCCTCCAGCCTCCACCACACTCCAGGGCAGAGAGTTTCACTGCTGAATAGCTCTCAGCCAAGAAGTTCTTCCTAATGTTCAGATGGAATCTCCTTTCTTGTAGTTTGAAGCCATTGTTCCATGTCCCAGTCTCCAGGGCAGCATTATTATTTATTATTTATTTAAAACTTTTATATCCCGATCTTCTCAAGCGCCACGGAGGGACTTAGCAGAAAACAAGCTTGCTCCCTCCACCCTATGACTTCCTCTCACGTATTTATACATGGCTATAATGTCTCCTCTTAGCCTTCTCTTCTTCAGGCTAAACATGCCCAGCTCTTTAAGCTGCTCCTCATAGGGCTTGTTCTCCAGACCCTTGATCATTTTAGTCGCCCTCCTCTGGACACATTGTCAAACTACAGCCCCCAGGATTCCATAGCATTGAACCAAGGCAGTTCAAGTAGATTCATTTTACAGCATAGATGCACACCTCTGGCTTCTTTTCTGTTACTAGAAGCTTTAATGTTCTAACGCTTGTGTGTTTTAAAGAAGGAATTGTAAACATGCAGCAACTGCAATGTGCACCTTTTCTGGCCAAATGACAAAGAGTGCATATTTTGGCCAGGCTTTAACACAGCTGGTAAATCACTAGCAATGATAAGATCTAACAAACAAAAGGTTGCCAGTTCGAAGCTCTGGGTCAGCATGAGCATGAGCTCCTGACTGTCAGCCCACCTTACTGTTTACCTAAGCAGTTCGAAAACAGTTTGAGCTGTTTTCGAAATTAGGTACTGCTAAAAGATCAGAAATTAGGTACCGCTAAAAAATGCGGCAACCAAAAGAAACGAGGAAGTCCTGATAGCTCTTCGTCATAGAGGATGGAGTGACAGCACTCCCCTGTGGCTGGATTCGAGCACAACCTCCAAGGTGCCAAAAAGCTGGATGTCAACACAACATACCTCCTGAAACGTCAGGAGAGAATGCCTCTAGAACAGTGTTTCTCAACCTTCCTAATGCCACGACCCCTTAATACAGTTCCTCATGTTGTGGTGACCCACAAACATAAAATCATTTTTGTTGCTACTTCATAACTGTAAGTTTGCTACTGTTACCAATTGTAATAAAAAGATCTGATGTATTCACTGGACCAAATTTGGCACAAATATCCAAATGAGTACCTTAAAAACAAAAGAACCAATGAACGAAATCACACCAAATTTGGCAACAAAACGTCTCACAACACAAGGAGTGACCATCACTCAAAAAATTACGATTTTGACATTTGGGAGTTGTAGTTGCTGGGATTTATAGTTCACCTACAATCAAGGAGCATTCTGAAATCCATCAATGATGGAACTGAACCAAACTTAGCACTCAGAACTTCAATTACCAACAGGAAAAAAGTGGAAGGGTTTGGTGGGCATTGATCTTGCGTTTGGGAGTTGTAATTCACCTACATCCAGAGAGCCCTGTGGATTCAAACAATGATGGATCAGGACCAAACTTGGCGCAAATACTCAATATACCCAAAAGTGAACACTGGTGGAGTTTGGAGGACATAGACCTTGACATTTGGGAGTTGTAGTTGCTGGGATTTATAGTTCACCTACAATCAAAGAGCATCCTGAACCCTGGCAACGATAGAATTGGGCCAAGCTTCCCACACAGAACCCCATGACCAACAAAAAATACTATTTTTTTCTGATGGTCTTTGGTGACCCCTCTGACACCCCCTTGCGATCCCTCCAGGGGTCCCGACCCCAAGGTTGAGAAACACTGCTCTAGAACATGGCTGGATGGAAGCTGGATGTCAACACAACATACCTCCTGAAACGTCAGAAGAGAATGCCTCTAGAACATGGCTATATAGCCCCAAAAAAACTTACAACACAACATACCTCCTTTCTGTTCTGTCTATCTTTGTCTTGTCCATCCAAAACAGCATTGAATGTTTGGCGTGTATGTGAACTGTGATCTGCCCTGCGTCCCCTTGGGGTGATAGAGTGGAATATACATCAAATGTTATTATTTTATTTGCTGCTGTGAATTACATTTGGCAGCAAACCCTTTCTTTTTGGTTTCAAGGTTTTTAAACTTGAGGTGTGGCTTAGATTCGATGGCACATGAGACTCAAGACAATACGGTACCATCACTATGTTTGTTTGGGGCTCCTGCATTTATAAGATCTTTACCGTCTCCTTTTTCGGACCCAGGGATGGTCTTGCTGCCGGAAACGTACCACCGACTTCTCCGAATTCCTCTCCATAAAGGTATGTGATGAGCCCTTCCGTTTTCACCACACCAACTCTCTCCAGGAGTTCTGGCACGCAGCGATGTGCTGTTGATGGGTCAGAGTGGCCTCCCATGCCGCGGTGCATTTGTTGCATGTCCTGCAGGGCTGCACAAAAGGCCGGCACAGCAACGAGAAGCCCCCCGAACCACAAGAAGCCCCGCTTACAACCAAGGACAAAGCAGCCACCGAGATCATCGTCCAGGGGCCAAAGTCGGCTGAGAAGATGGAGCGCGAAAGGCCCAGGTGAGCAATCAAGGAGGCCATAGCCAAGGGCAGGGGAACCTCTCATCTCACATTTATTTATTTATCGTGTCAGGAGCAAACCAAACAGTTGTATTGCATTTTTAAACAAACAAACAAACAAAACACAAAGTTTGCAAGCTTGGTAGTTGATTAAATGTCCTTTGACCAGTATCTGGCCACTTGGAGTGCCCCTGGTATTGCTGCAAGGAGGTCCTCCATTGTGCATGTGGCAGGGCTCAGGTTGCATTGCAGCAGGTGGTCTGTGTTTGCTCTTCTCCACACTCGCATGTGTGGATTCCACTTTGTAGCCCCATTTCTTAAGGTTGGCTCTGCATCTTGTGGTGCCAGAGCCAGTCTGTTCAGCACCTTCCAAGTCGCCCAGTCTTCTGTGTGCCCAGGGGGAGTCTCTCATTTGGTATCAGCCATTGACTGAGGTTCTGGGTTTGAGCCTGCCACTTTTGGACTCTCGCTTGCTGAGGTGTTCCAGCGAGTGTCTCTGTAGATCTTAGAAAACTATTTCTTGATTTAAGTCGTTGACGTGCTGGCTGATACCCAAACAGGGGATGGGCTGGAGATGTCACTGCCTTGGTCCTTTCACTATTGGCTGCTACTTCCCGGTGGATGTCAGGTGGTGCAATACCTGTTAAACAGTATAATTTCTCCAGTGGTGTAGGGCACAGACACCCTGTGATGATGTGTCATGTCTCATTAAGAGCCACATCTACTGTTTTAGTGTGGTGAGATGTGTTCCACACTGGGCATGCGTACTCAGCAGCAGCGTAGCGCAAGGGCAGATGTCTTCACTGTATCTGGTTGTGATCCCCAGGTTGTGCCAGTCAGCTTTCGTATGATATTGTTTCTAGCGCCCCCTTTTGCTTGATATTCAGGCAGTGCTTCTTGTAGGTCAGAGCACGGTCCAGAGTGACTCCCAGGTATTTGGGTGCGCTGCATTGCTCCAGTGGGATTCCTTCCCAGGTGATCCTCAGAGCTTGGGATGCTTGTCTGTTCTTGAGATGAAAAGCACATGTCTGTGTTTTAGATGGATTAGGGATCAGCTGGTTTTCCTTGTAATAGGCGGTAAGAGCACCTAGAGCTTTGGAGAGCTTCTGTTCAACCATCTCAGAGCTCCTTGCTTGATTCAGTGGTTTATTTAATGGAGCAGATGGAACAAATGTTTTCTGGAGACTAGGACTCAATGGAGCCACGGGTTCAAATTACAGGAAAGGAGATTCCTCTTGAACATGAGGAATAACTTCTTGACTGTAAGGAGCTGTTCAGCAGTGGAACTCTCTGCCTCAGAGTATAGTAGAGGCTCCTTCTTTGGAGGCTTTTAAACCAAGGCTGGATAACCATCTGTCAGGGTGCTTTGATTGTGTTTTTCCTGTATGGCAGAGGGTTGAACTAGATGGCCCACTTTGGGATTCCTGGTTTTGTTCACTTTCCTTTCTAGTTCGGATGAACCCAAGCAGCTCCTGCCAGTCAAAGTGTCCAAGACTCTGGAGCAATCCCTGGAGAAGCTGGAGTTGTCCCCGAAGGAGGAGGCTGCAGGACAGGGCTCTGCGGGTAAGGGACCCAGGATCTTAAATTGTGAGTTTGGGACCAAAATTAGGTCTGGATCAGACAAGGCAAGACTTTTGATTGTGATTTGTTGCTGTATCATGCCATTGTATGTAACACAACAAGTAATACAATTATGAATGATGTAAACAGGAATTAAGATACTTTCCAGAATGAGTATTTATGCCTCCTGGATGTCTCTTAGGGGCCGCCTTGGAAGTGAGCCTTGGCACCACTTGCAAGAACTCCGGCTGCAAGGCGGTAAGTCAGCCCTAAAGCCTTCTCTGTTTAATCCCAGTCCCGATTCTTCTTGTAGTGACTAAAGGACCTTTCTGCCTTGGAACCAGAACGTTGATATGTTATTTTCTTGGACTACATCCTCCAGAATCCCTTAAATCAGTGTTAGGGGAAATCCCCAAAATATCAGAGTATTTAAAAATACAAAATCAGGATACTTAGCAAAACTGCTCACTGCAAGCAGCAGAGATATGTTGTGACTACGGGAAGCAAGATGCAGAATTCAATCGTAAAAGTTTAAAAAATAATGACATTTCTTGATAGAAAAGGGCTGGATGTAAGCTTTCTCTCTAACTCATGGGTCCTCAAACTTTTTAAACAGAGGGCCAGGTGACAGTCCCTCAAACTGTTGCAGGGCTGGATTATAATTTGGAAAAAAAAAAAGAATGAATTCCTATGCACACTGCACATGTCTTATTTGTAGTGCAAAAAAAACAACACTTTAAAACAATACAATAATTAAAATGAAAAATTTTAACAAATATAATCTTTTAACCAATTTTAAAATGAAAAATTTTAACAAATATAATCAATGGGAAGTGTGGGTCTGCTTTTGGCTGATGACATAGGATTATTATTGTGGCTCCAGTACTATCAAATCAAAGAAAGCTACAATTTAGACAGAAAACAAGGCTTTGAAAAAGAAGAGTCCTTCTGGGACAAAATAATAAAATCTGATGTGAAACTCATTAGAAAAGTTTACCAACAACTACTCATATGGGAACAGAAAAAGAACAAGTGAAGGAGAACATGATAAGATGGGCAAGAGATATAGGCCGCTCAATCAGTCTAGCAGAATGGGAAGAGATTTGGTCCAAAAAACTAAAATTTACATACTTAACCAATTTCAAAGAAAATTGGTATAAACTATTTTTTAGGTTGTACCTAACTCCGGAACAACTATCAAAATTTAACAAAGGTAAAACAGATGGGAAATGCTGGAAGTGCAAGAAAACAGAAGGAGACTTCATACACATGTGGTGGAGGTGCAAGAAAGTAAAGTCCTTCTGGCATCAAATCCACAAAGAATCAGAAAAAATTTTTACACATGAAATTTGATTTAAAACCGGAATATTTTTTGTTAGGCATCATTGATTTCGACCTGGACAGCAATACAAACAAGATTTTCTTCTATCTTATAACAGCTGCTAGAATTAAGTTGGCCCAACTCTGGAAATCCAAAGAAATCCCAACAATAGAACAATGGACATTGAAGGTACTTGACATCATGAATTTGGACTTACTCACACAAAGATTATCTACCAACAGTAATAAGGCAAAAAATACAGACTGGGACAATTTCCTAAAATATCTTGAAAATGGAAATAAAGGAAACTTGAAGAAATAACAGAGGGAAAGAAGGTTTTTTGCAACTGCACGAAGACACTGAACTCAATATAATACTAGGCATTAGCCTGACGATAGAGAATAACTATTTGCTCTGGTTAACTTGGAAGTGCTTTTCCTTAAGTTTTACATCCCCCCTGAATGAAATGGACGAATGTATGTGTACGTGTGCGCGTGAGGACGAGTCCTTAGATTTCTCTTCTTTCTTTACCTTTTTT